AAAAAAGAAAAAAAATCAAGTGGCATCGTGCCACACAGCATTCTAACTGAAGCTTAATAACCTCATCACACACGGAGAGAAGAATGAAGCTCTCAACAGCTTTCATAACAACAATTCCTTTTGCCTAGAGCAGATGGTTATTCATACCTGCAGTTTTTTCGCGTACTGGTTGAACATAAACGTCACACATTCATTGATGGCACCTGTTCTCTGAAGAAGGAGCAATCCTTTGGGAGTGGCAGCAAAGTTCAGTAAATCATCTAGCAAATTGTCTTCCCAAGCCACACTGGAACAGGGAAAGGGATGTTTAATATCCACAAAACTGAAAATATGTAAGAGCAGCATGGACAAGAATTAAACTGACAGAGAATACACCAATTACAGGTTGTTCAGTAGATATTATGAGCCAAGCTGGAAGTCACTTCCATTCCAACAGCTTCCCAGCACTGATGACTGGAGTGCATTTCCGGTGCAGCACTGAGACTAAGCCTCAATCTTTATGCACGCTGTAATTTCCCATGGTAATTCCACTGCACTTGGATTCCCTAAACCTCAAATCTCCATTATTGTTGTGCCTTCTGTTTATTAAAACATTTTTCTTATGGTCTAGAGCATAATATGCTTGTTTTCTCTTTTATTTTCATAAATTTCTATTTTATTTGGAAGTGAATAGTAACATTTTTCCTCAAAACACATTTTTTGTTATAACAGAGAGAACACTTTATTGTTTTCATTTATTGACAAAGTCGAACACGAGACTGCATGCTACACAGCAGAGCTGCCCTTATAAAAAGTCCCTCTTGTCTCTGTGTGATGCTAAATGACAGAGACATATACGTGAGTGGACCCAATGAACAAGGCATTTATGTCTATAGACCTTCAGACTATTTCCATTGCAACTAAAAATAGAACTATGAGCAGCCAGATTTTTGCAGCTCTTAACTATGTTCATTTTGTACCAGTCAAAATACATTTTTAAGACTGATAACTTTCTGCACAGATTTTAAAAAATAACAGAAACTTGTGGAATATTACTTTAAGTATGTAAAGATGTGCTTCATTTGTATATGTTGCAGAATATTACTTTCTCTATGTAAAGATGTGTTACATTCATTTATGCTGCATTTGTTTAACTATGTAAAGGTGTGTTGCTGTTTCATCTTGCCTGCTTAAGGTACCTGATTGGCCTAATAAAAAGTTGAACAGTCAATAGCTAGGCAACAGAGGGACATGTGGGGCAGTCAAGTAGAAAGAATAAATAGGAGAAGGGGAAAGAGAAAGGAGGGAGAAGAGAATGAGAAAGAGGGAGATAGATGCTCAGGGCAAGTCAGCCAAGTAGCTGCCAGTCAGACAAAACAGATTGTATGACAGTTCAGAATAGGCCATACAGAAGGAAAGAAAGGCAAACGTAGATGAAGAAAAAAAGAGCTAATTTAAGCTATTAGAGCTAGTGGGAAAAGCATAAGATAAGGCTGAGCAGTCATGACTAATATTAAGTCCCTATGTTATGATTTAGGAGCTGGTTGGTGGTCAAAAAAAGCCTACAAGAGAAACCATAAGAAAAGAATTTGAAAAAAATTCTATATTCCATAAATATATTTTATTGCTCAATTAAATACTGAGAATTTCCTAAAATTGAGAAAAATATACAATCTGTGTATGAATTAAAATATCATCCAGAGTACTTAAGTAAGTTAACATAAATCACCGAGATTAAGCAAACAGTTAAATTACAAGCAAGAGCTGCCACCACCTATTAAACATGGGCGGCCATATTGTAGATAACAAGACCTGTCAAGAGCCATACAGTCCAGAAAATACTGTAATGGCAGCTTCAAGAACTGATGAGAAATGTTTGCCTGCATCAACATTTCTACATAATTAAACTACTTAGGAATAAGAACATATGCTTAAAGTAGAAAAGACTTGTGGTGGCAGTGTGGTTTGAAAGAACAAACATTTCTAGACATAACAGATTAGCTTGGCATGGCAGCATACACCTATAATCCCAGCACTTGACAGAGGAAGAGGTAGAGGACAGAAGAGTCTGAGACCAGCCTTGGTAACAAAGCAAGTTATAGATCAGCCAGGGCTGCACAGTGATCACCTGTCTTTAAAAAAAAAAAAAAAAAGACAGGAAGGGAGGGAGAAATTAAAGTAAGAGAGGTATAGGGAGGGAAGGAGGGAGGTTGGGAGGGAGGGAGGGAAGGCAATTTAGACATAAAAGGCAGGAATAGTTCACCACCCTCAGAGCTTAACAAACAATCAAAGCAAAACTATATTTGGAAACTAAAAGGTATAAAGGTAAAAAATATGCTCATGTGGAGAAAAGGTCACAAGTTACAAGCTGTGGAATAAAACAATTACAAAAATGGTCAACAAGTGTAAAGCTTATCAATGTAAAGAAGTGAATTAGGTATTAAAAGAATTCTAAATATCTACAACATTGAGGATTGTGGCATGTGTAGAAGACCACTGATGGATGAAGATACATCAAACCCATATTGCATTTCAAAACACAGCATGAACACCTAACGACTCTATACTTTCTTTCTAAAGGCTACAGTTAGAGTTAGGAGGTGGCTCCATGGTGCAGTGGACAGTGCATCGCACCCCTCCCTTGGACTCCATATTCTGACCTTCTACTTTAGAAGTGTTTGGCTTTACCAGAGGCTAGGCAGGATCTAGAAATCCCAGACAAATAAACAGACCAGCCCCAGCTAAAACTTGTTAAAGCCTGCCCAACAACCCCAGATTGTATGCCCTTCCCTAGGCTCCACACTAGGACCCACAGACCCAGTATCTTTACCGGAAGCCAGAGTGGTCCCCAGGGACTTCAGGGAAGATACCACCCACCACCTGCTAACATTCCTTAAAGAAGCCAAAATTATACAATGGAAAAAAGAAAGCATCTACAACAAATAGTGCTGCGCCCAACTGGATTTCAGCATGCAGAACACAGATAGACCTATATCTATCACACTCACAAAACTCAAGTCCACGGAAATCAAAGACCTCAACATAAATCCAGATACCTGAACCTGACAGAAGAGAAAGTGGGAAGAAGCCTTGAATGCATTGACACTGGAGCCAAGTTCCTCAACAGGACACAAATAGCACAGACACTAAGATTAACAATTTATAAACGGGACCTCATGAAAAGTTTCTCTAAGGCAAAGGACACTGTCAATAGGACAAAACAGCAATCTACAGAATGGGAAAAGATTTTCACCAACCCCACATCTGACAGAGGGCTGATTTCCAAAATATATACAGAACTCAAGAAACTAGACATCAACAAACCAAATACTACAGTTGGGGTACAGATCTAAACAGAGAATTCTCAACAGAAGAATCTCAAATGGCTGAGAAACACTTAAGGAGATGTTCAACATCTCAGCCATCAGGGAAATGCAAATCAAAACTACTCTGAGATTCCATTAACACCTGGCTAAGATCAGAATAGCTAAGATGTTCTTGAACTCACTCAGTAGACCAGGCTGGCCTCAAACTCGGAGACCTGCCTGCCTCTGCCTAGGAAGTGCTGGAATTAAAGGTGTACACAACCATTGCCCAAATAATCATCAACTTTTCAAATATCCTGAACTCTAAAACAGTATGAACCAATTCCCCTAAATTCTCTCCTTGCTCATGTATCAATACATGAATCTAGCCTACTGATTCTCTCTAGATAGTCCTAAATAACACAAACATGTGTGTATGTGTGTATGTGTGTGTGTAAACAGATATATATAAACAGATATACATATATCACAAACATAATATCTGGGGTTCAGAAACCTCTTTTACTGTGGCACTGTTTTTATGTAGAGTACATGCACATAACACTGCCTCTCTACACCTACATATAAAACAAAGACAAATCACAAAGGTAGGGCACTCTTGCACAAGCAGGGCCTCTTATCCAGGACACGCCCTCAACAGAAACAGCTCCCTGTAGCAAACATCTATTCTGTTCTGCTTTATCTGCGATGACATTTGAGGACAGTGAGGTGTGCCCTTGAGGAAAGCTATGGCTACAGGCTGTGACTAGACAAAGCTTGTCTAGTTTTCCCACAATTTCTCAATGGAAAAATGGGGGGAAAAACAGCAGTTGATAGTGTTGGATAACCATATTAGAAAAAAATATACAGGAAACTTCTAGAGAATGAACTATCTTGAACCTTTACACTCTTCTTAAATTTTAAAAAAATAACTGATTTTGTAAGTTAAGTTCTAACCTACAAAAGAAAAAGAATCCAAAGTCAACACTAAGCAAAGAGCATCCCTGAAGGCTGTCCCTACTATGTGTTCATACTGTGCCAATACTCAACCACAGAACTAAATAAGAACCTGGAACATGTAGGTCATGAAACCTTAGTTTAATGAAGTGTCTTCCCTGCTAACCTGCTAGCACACAGATTAATATTTATAAAAGAGCATAAAGATATACACTGAAATATTAATTTACATAATTTTCAAATGCCAAACCATAATTAAACTGCACTTCTACCATATTTTGAAAAACACATAAAATGGATTTCAGCAGCATTCGAAAACATTTTGCTTCTACTGAACATGCAAGTTAACTTTCCAATTTTAATATTTGATAATTCTCCAGTTTTTCTAAAAAACTTTGCAATATGCTAAGCTTCCTAATGCAAAATATAAATACACAATGAAGCAAAAGTTATCTAATATTTCTAGATCTGTTAATAGCTACAAGTATCACATAATCTATAAATAATAGTAAGTGTAATTTTCCTTAAAGCTCTATGCATATAGTTTAACTTCCTGGAAAATATTTTACCATAGTTTTCCAATGAATTTCAATTATTTCTATATTATTTCAGCAAGCACAATAGAGAAATGTTGAACAATTACACTTACATGTTGGGAGATTCCTGGCTCACTGAAGAAACTGAGTCTGAGCCCTCTACTGGAGTGGGGATCCTTTCCGATAGCAAGCTTGTCTAAAAGAAAGGAAAAAAAAATAAAAATAAAAAATACATTAGTTTGTTTCTCTGCTGTTCTAACTGATAGCACTTCTGCTTTTTTAAACTCAGTGCATTTTAACACAGTTGCTTTCAAAATTAAATTATCTGTTTCAATAAAACTAAAAGATTAAGCAATCCCCTGGTCTATGCATGGCCCCTGATCTACTGTTCTTGATGTCATAACCTCCACAGAAGACAGTGAGTCTAGACACAAAGAATTCAGCTGAAGCTCCTGCTACCACAATGAAAAACATTATGGTAATCAGAGAAGGGTCTGAGGTCATCCTGTGCCAAGTTAAGAAACATGGAGAGCTAATACTGTAACCCACGACAAAGTGAAAGAAATGATATTTAGCCTGGCATGGTGGCACATGCCTTTAATACCAGCACTCAGGTGGTAGAGGCAGGAAGATCTCAGTGAGTTCCACACCAGCCAGAGCTAGATAGTGAGGCCCTGTTACAAAGAAGGAAGAAAGGATGTAAGGGAGGGAGAGAGAGAAGCAGGGAGAGAGGGAAGGGAAAAGACAAAAAAGAAGAACAAGAAGTATGTCCCATTAAAATATCCTGCCTACGCCAGGCAGTGGTGGCACACTCCTTTACTCCCTTTACTCAGAAGGCAAAGGAAGGCAAATCTGAGTTTGAGGCCATCCTGGTCTACTGAGAGAGTTCCAGGAAAGCCAGGGCTACACAGAGAGTCCCTGTCTTGGGAGAAAAAAAAAATCTGTCCACAGTAGTATTTACAGTGATGCTTGTAACTGAAATAAAGACCTGCGGGGTGGGGAGGGGGATTAAAATACATACCTTCTTCCATGCCTTTGCTATAGATTCATGTAAACCGTACGGAAGCAGCACCTGCAAGCCTTCACATGTGGCATATATTTGACGACACACAGAAATAAACGCTCCTTTAACTACAGGCAACATTTCTGATCCAGAGAAAATAGAAATATCTTCATCAAGAAGTTTCTTTGAAAACTTGGCTATTATATGAGCACCTGTAGGACTAAGAAGAGATCACAGATGTGATTCTAAGGCCAGGCAGCAAAACAGCCCATTTCCACAGAGCTCATTTGCTAGCTCTCTTTAGATAGCTCATAGCGTTCACAAACAAGTCAGTATACCTCATCCATCAACACGAGCATGAACGTTCCAGTGGAACATGGAAAAGGATAGTTAGATAGGGGAAAACAGCCACATCTACAAGACACTTAAGAGACACAGATGCCATGTGGTCAGGGTAATGCATGAGTGCTTTTGATTTTCCAGTGAGCGAGTCTTATTGTTTGAGCTGTTGCTACCTTCCCCATCACAACACAGCCAGCCTATCTAGAAGTTGGAGATTGTTTTCCTGGAAATAATAATAGCACAGACAGAAATGCTTCCAATGTAAAACTTACTGTTGCAGGTATTTTAATGTCTCAAATAATTTTTCCCACAGTCTTTTGAAGTAGAAGCTTACAGTAACAGAGATTACATGTACAGATTATAGAAATAACTTGCACAATACCACACAGCTAATATTTGAGAAAGAAACAAGGTAACCTAGTATGTCTAACTGCAGAGAAAAGCAGTGTTACTACTTTTTCTAGATGTTTAGCACATTGAATTCAAAAGAAAGGCAATAAGCATTAGACTCAGAGAAAACTAAAGCCTCCAGTTATCTTTCTCCAACAGCATTACAAACATTTCACCATCCTTGCCTTGCATATGGATCCCAGTACACATATCTAAATAACAAGATTCCTATTTTAAATGTAATATACCCACATAATAATTTTTATTATTATTAATATTATTATTATTAGACATCCCACATCAAACTTCTCTGCATTCTCTTAAATATGTCATTCCCTCTAGACAGGTTTGTGTAAAGGACATTTCATACAAGTCTTATAGGTTGTGCCAAGGGATTTAAACCCCCTGTGTCCTTTTTCTCCAGGTCAATGATTCAATGATTTTATATTTGAATGACTGTTTCCCATAGTATCTTCAACCCACTTCCTATTTCCCCAAATGTTCTACAAGATAATAATTAGATCTAGAGGCTTAAAGTTTGGTTCTCTCTCTTTTTTTCTTCTTTGGTAAAATAACTTTGTGAGTGGTGTGTGTGCCTCTTGCATGAATTCAACATTAACCTGGTGGTCCCAATTTTAGTGATACTAAAAATTAGCTTGGCAGATGGCATTTCTAGCAAGAAAAGCTTTACACTTGATGATTTTAGCAACTATTATGGTGAGTACCAAGATTTTGTGAAGAAATACCACATGCATCTTTTCTGCTTTAAGAATTTTGTTTGTATTTACTAAGTAGACTTCTTCTGCAAAGAATTTTTTCTGTATAACTCTTTAAAATACAGTGTGTAAAGTAAAGCTGGAAAAATATTCTAACCTTTATCAATTTGCAAAATAATAAATACATTTGGCATCTTAGCAGACTCTTTAAGAAACTATTCAGCCCATTTTGCTTTATTTTTGTATTTTTAATATTTTTAAAAGTCCATGTTTATAGAGCTAATATATTTCACCCTATTGCACCCATTATTTTTGAGCCTCAAGTTGCACATCTTAAAGACAGTAGAATCTCCCTCGAGGTACTTTTGGCCCTATCCTGCTAGTTTTAAATAACTACCTTGACTTCTAGAAACAAAATTATGCAAGGGTGATTCTGTACACTTCTTATCCCTGACCTAAAAACAGTCATTTCTTCAAGGCTTCCTGTCTCCTTTTAGCAAAAAGAACAGGAAACAGAGATACCACAGTGCAGGTAACTGTTCACTGTCGATAATACCATTCCTTCTAGGCCTGTTCTATGTGGTGATCTGAAAAGATGAAGCTTGTTAGAAGAAAAAGTAAGTTCATAAATGCATTTCCATTATGAATTAAATAGTCAAGATTTTACTTGTTTCTTTAATTTTATGCTTTTTATATCTAACACTAAAAAAATAGTTCTTGATGTCATTACATATCCATTTATTATCCATAACAATTTCAAAGTAACACTAATACAGCTTCTAAACATACCAGTACAACTGGCACTGAAGGTTATTTCCATTACTCCACTCTCTACAAGTTCAAGGATAATGGGGTTACTAGATGAAATGAGTTTGTCACTAATATGACTGTTAAGTTTATTTACTCGCTTGCTTTGTAGGCTTTAAAAACTGTGAGTTCTTTCTTTTGGATTTGTTTAACATTTGAAGCCTAATGCAGCTACTTACTTGTAAAGTAAAATCTAAGTATGACCAATGTATTGATGGTGTCTCCACTCTTCTATTCCCTAGAACTATTTTCCTTGCCTTTCAGCTGTCATTAATAATTCCCTCCTAAGCGATAAGGAAATGGATGACCCAACTGTCCTGTTATACAAAAGACAGGGTTCTATAAACATACATCGTCATAAACCTAATGCCAAAGCACTTCATAAAAATATTCCCAAATTCTTGTGTATCTGTGTCTGTGTATGATATGTGTGTGTGTGTGTGTGCGTGTGTGTATTTGTCTGTGTGTGTAACAGTCACAGGACAACCTGGAGATCAGAGGACAACTGCAGGAACTGGCTCTCTGGTTCTGCCATGTGAGTCCCAGGAATTAAACACAGGTCATCAGGCTTGGCAGGTGGCCTGTTTCCCTGCTAAGTCATTTTCTGGTCCCCTAATTCCTTTTTACAGCTAGCTAGCTGCTCACTGCTCCAATGTGAAAAACAAAGTTTAATGAGCCAGACTCTTGTTAATTGTACTTGCAAAAATTCTAGTATTTTCCCTAAGAAAACAATTGATACAAACTTTACACAATGATGATTAGGAAGGCACTTCTGGTAATTAACATCTTGTTTGTTCAGCTTCAATGTGAAAAAAACTTTCTTTGAAAATAAATCCACATACACATCACATGTGACTGGCAGAACCCTGATTTCATCTAGAAATATTATTAATATTCATATAGAAACAGAAAAACTTACTAGTTTTTAAATTATTAATGACAGGCATAATGGCACTCATTTTTTAAAATTTTTCTAACAAGTAACTTTATTTTTTTAATTTTATAAACTTTTTTATAAAAAAATAACAAATTAATAAAGCATCACACATCAAAATTAAGTAAACTCAAAGTCCATGTAATTTAATGAACTTACATAGAGTTAGAACTGATTACTTGGAGGAATCACAGTTCAAGGCTGGCTTGTGTTATTAGTAAGGTCTTATGTTTTAAAAAATTAAAAAAAATAAATTTCCAAAGGATTAAGTAATAGATAAGGAGGTCTTAAAATTCATGACAAAAGATAAATCTTCCTAATTAAAAAAATCATTATATACTTAACATCTCCAGGTAAATATGGCAAACTGAATGTATAAGGGAAGGGAAGCAAAGGGAAGATCAAATCAAGAGGACACACTAATGCTCATGATCCAGCCCAGCTTCCACTCAGTCTCTGCTGAGAGCCTTGTGTTTTTTCAGGCAGGTAACTGCAAGAGGCTTCATTAGGGCTTTCCCAGAAAAATGTCATGGCATTTCCTACACAATATAAAGACCACAAGTGACAACTGCCCTTGTAACAGTTACCAACATCTAAGGAGTAATAAAAGAAACCAAAGCAACAAATAGAGAAAAACTGGAGGGAAATGAGAAAGTACGGGATGACAATTTCATTATCCATGGAACTGAACAAATTTACTGTACTCCAACACGAATAAGATGTTTTGCTTCAAGCACACAATGTTGTCCTTTGATACCTACACATATATCATAGCATGTGTACGCCTGTGAAGACATGTATGTGCGCACACACCACACACATGCAAATATACACACACAATCAACAAGATCAAGAATTGATTTTCTGGAAAAAGCCACAAAATTGTTAAGTTTCAAATTAGCACAATAATAATAATAACAACAACAACAGTGAAGTTAAAATGATTAGTACCAGAACAAGAGCAGAGATTTTCACTACTGGTAGCCCAGCAATAACCAGATAGCCAGAGCATATTACTGGCAACTCTAAACCATAAACAAGTAACTTCACCATTTCTCTGAAAGATACAACCTGTTAAGTTTCATACCAAAGGAAATAACTCTGAACAGGTCTATATATCTAATAAAGAAATTAAGCAATTAAAAGAATTAGGTAACACCAGGTTCTCATTGTCTCACAAATGGATTCTATCAAAAATTTATAGAAATTATAACAGTTCTCCACAATTCCTTTCAGAAGACAGAAACAGAAGAAATCATTTCTAATTCATGAAATAAGCTTGTAGTAAACATCAAAAAAAAAAAACCAAAGATATTCTGGGTTCAGCGGTTGATATTATGTGTCAGCATGGCAGAGATACCTATAACCATGAGAAACTCAAAGCCAAAATGGGGAAGAGGAATATTCATAATCAAGTGTAACTTACTCCCTGAGTTGGCTGCTTGGCACTTAGAAAACAATTAATGTCAGGGCTGGAGAGATGGATCAGTGGTTAATAGAACTGGCTGTTCTTCCAGAGATCCTGAGTTCAATTCCCAGCAACCACATGGTGGTTCACAGACATCTGTAATGGAATCTGATGCCCTCTTCTGTCATGTAGGCATACATGCAAATAGAGCTTTCATATACAAAATAAATAAATATTTTAAAGCCCAATTCTTCTGAAAAACAATTAACATAATTCATCTTAGCAATAGGCTAAAGACTGCTCATTACAGTGTCATTTATGGAGGTAAGATCCGAGGCAGAGCCTGCTGTTAAGGGGAGGGGGGAGTCTGAATAAATTAAAATAAACTAAGTAAGAATATAATGCTACAATAAAATGATGTTCCATTCCGTATTCACCCAAGAAAATGCCCATGTTGTATTTAAGGACTGAGATTTAGGGTAAAGTACATGATGCCATTTTATAAACCAGAGTAGACACATTAACAGTTTCACGGGATTGCCCGAGTATTGCGCCATCAGAAGTACAGAGAAAGCCTAGAAGCCTAAATGCCACAAGACTTTACCACTGCAAAGGAGGAGCTAGGACTGGGTGACAGCAGACGAGGAAAGGGGGTGTGGCTTCTCCTCTGAATCTGTTTGACTGAACCCAACTACCTGTGGTTTCAGAAGTCTGGGGTTTGTCAGAGGGTCTTGGGGAGCAGGTGAGAAGGTGTGGGTTCCCATCTGGAATGATGCCCGCTACCCTTACTGTGAGCTAAGATTATACAGTAATCTTTGAAATTAAGTAGTAATGCCACCTTCAGGACATCCCACACCCTCTTCTACCCTCCAGGGGAGCCTGCAAGCACATGGTGCACATAAACTTGTGCAGGCATACACATATACACGTAAAGACAATTGATAAATACTTTAAGAGATTACATCAAAGATGGCTTAATGTGTCGCTAGTACTTGCTTGGGAAACCTATCCACCCCCAATCACAGGCTAACATGTCCACTCACCTTTCTTCTTCAGAAGAGTTCATATTTTCTCCATAAAGAAGCAACATAAGTCCTTCTTCTACAGAAGCAATTCTTGCCAAAATATCCGCTATGTGAATTAAAGCTGTTTCAGAGAAATCCGGAGCGGCCTGCACATTTAAAAAAAAATAAATAACAAGACAAATCATATAATTTTATGATGTAGCAGGGGTGGAACGTAGTAGAATAAAATTGTACGGCTACAACAACAACAGAAACCTTGAGGACTTCTGCTTGTGAAATAATATGTCTGAGTTAAATGTGTCATTAGATTCTGTTCTTTCACCAGCAGAGTTGATGAGCAAATAAATCCAAGATTTTCACCTAAGTCAGTTATTGAGAATCATGTCTGTATTACAGCTTCATGTGTAGTTCTGGATGCCTAATGCTGTAGCCCCCTCCCTATCTGCATTGTCTTGTACTTTTCAGGTACCATATTTCTGCAAGTTCTTCATGATATATATGGTATCTAATACACTAACTTGGTTATATCGGTACCATCCCCTTATTTACCTAACTAGACAAAGACTGACCAGAGACAGCCAGTTCACGAGCTCACTGATAGTCAATAATATCAACCACATGGACAACAAAGTTGTCCAGTCATATCTGCTCACTTTAAATGGAATTGTTAATACATCTTAGCCAATATATAATAGCATAAAGAAAATATTGAAACCTGGAAATTAAGTTAATGTTGAAGTCAACTTACAGAAACTCCTGTTATTTTCACGGTCTACTTATTGCTTTCTTCCTGCATGAATGCTAATGTCCATATTCTCTGTATTTTAAAACATGCATCTTACAACTAATACAATATTAAAATTTTCATGAATTCCACTAATGAATATGAATCAGGTAGAGTCCCCTATAATTATATATGGTGGGGACTAGAAAGATGGTTCAGTGGCTAAGGCTTCGTGCTAACAAAGCATGAAGAACCGAGTTCAAGTTCCCAAGACCCACACTTAAAACTAGGCATGACTGTACGTGTCCGTGACTCAGGAAGTGACGGGAGAATGCTGGGGCTTCCTGGGTAGATCCAGGTTCCAGCAGAGTACCTGTCTCAATGGAATAATATGGAGAGAGGACTAGAAGGATACACAAAGTGCTCTGTGCTCCCCAAGGCACACACAGGCATGCATATCTTCACATACATGTCTGCACCCCACACATACACATTACATTTACTGTGTGTGCAGGCACACGCGTGCACATGTGTGTGGATGAGGATGATGATGATTACTGTTAATTGTGAACTTGAAAGAATGGAGAAGTACCAGGCCTCGAGACACCTGCAGTGATTCTCTTCATTAGCTGATGTGGTAGTGGTAATCCGTCCACTGAGGGGGGTGTCATTCCCTGGTTTGGGTTCGGGAAGTGTAGAAAAGCTGCTGAGCGCAGCATGTATTAGTCTCTATTTTTTAACTGTGGATACAATGCGAACAGCTTCCATGCCCCTACCATGATGGACTGTCTCTTGTATTAGGAGCTAAAGTAAACATGCCTTGTTCTTTTATAATACTCAGTGCAGAGCGCCAGTGTGGTAATGGGTCACCACATGACTCTAGATACCTGAAATTAGATATTAGATATCTATCCCTTTCTCTTTTACATTATCTTCTTTAGTTATTTAGTAACACCAATAAGAAAGAAAAATAAGTACACATATCTATAGTAATTCCAGCACTCATAAGGCTAAATGAGGCAGGAAGACTGAGAGTCTGAAGTCAGCCTAGAGACCCTGCCCCAAGCAAAAAATATACGTGTGTGTTGGTATATACCTGTGTATGCATGTTTGTATATATATGTGTTTATGTGTGTACCTATGTATATGTGTGTTTATACATATACCTAAGTATGTGTGTATATATGTGTATGTGTTTGTGTATGTGTGTTCTGATTGTACATATGTACACAGAAAATATAAAGATGTAGATACACACATGATTATCTCACAATTTTCATACATAATCTATTATCATATAAGCCACTTTTCTTGAAACTTCTATCTAGAAAGTGTTACATATCTCACATATACTAAAGTTCTATTTGTACACAAATATTCTGTCAGACACACAGTTTTCCTATAGAACTTTCTGCTGCTCATGCTAAATATCTGCTCCACAGAGCATGATCAGAGTAACCTTCTTACAGGCAATAGCATGGAACCGTTCTGTATATGTAACTTTACTACGGTAAAGTAAAAACCTTCCTTTTATTTAGACAGAAAGGGGGAGACAACATGGAATTCCCCTCTGTATACCATGAATATGATTTATTACTACTGGTTAATAAATAAGCTGCTTTGACCTATGGCAGGGCAGAAAATAGCAAGGTAGGGAATCCAAGCAGACACAGAGGGGAAAAGTGGCAGAATCAGAGAGCTTCCAAAGGAGAAGGAAACCAGAACCTTACCAATCACAGCTTCATGGAGATACACAGATTAATATAGACTTGGGCTAAATTAAGATGTAAGAGCTAGCTAGGAATATTCCTGAGCCATTGGTCAAACAGGGTTGTAATTAATATTGTTTTTGTGTGATTATTCAGATCAGGGTGCCCAGAAAACGAAAGCACAGTCTCCCTTTACAAAAATATACTTAATTGTCTTCTGGATTATTAATATCTAAAACAGCACTGCCAGACCAGTGGCTCAGAAGACTAGGATGGATATCTTAAATTAGGTACTAGAGAGTTGTTTACTGTGTATCAGTGAACTAGCTTATACTCAAGAAGGATGATTCAAAGCCCAGCAAGATGGTATAGAGGATAAGAACATTTGCCATCAAGTCTGATGACCTGAGATCAATCTCTAAGTCCCACATGGTGGAAAAAGAAAAAAAGAATTGGACAAGTGATTACATGTACACCACAGTATGTGCACATCTTCCCAAACAGATATGTGTAATACCCAAAACTGCAAATAATAATTCAAATACAAGGAAAACTGCAGAAGGACACAGCACAAGAATACAAGAAAAAGAAAAAACACCTTAGTCGGCATAGGAGGGATGTTTCCATGTGGGGCAGGTTTCATTTGGTAAAGGGGGACTTAATAAACAAAGAATACATAAACTTGTATAGAAAATTTGGTAAACACAAAGTTTAAAACAGTGACATTTTACAGCAAGCAGCAGTCAACAATGTGTGGCCCAAGAGGGAGAAGAGACGGTAAAGATGCTACAAAGCAGTTAACAGACAGGAACCTTCTCAGGCACTCAAAAGTCACCGACCAGAAGTTTAAGTCAGCCATCCTGGTGAGGACAGCAGCTTCACCAAGTGTTGGGTGTCTGGTATAAACAGGTTACTTCCCTCGGCCTCAGCTTATTCTCCAGGGAAATTCTCTAGCTCCAGGAAGCACACTGTGTAAGCTGTGAAGACAGCATGGCTCTGTTCAGCTCTGAGATCTCACTGTGTGAACCGGGAAGGCAGCGTGGGGTGTGAACTGGGAAGGCAGTGTGGGTGTGAACTGGGAAGGCAGTGCGACTGTTCAGATCTGAGATCACACTGTGTGAACTGGGAAGGCAGTGAAGTGGTGTGAACTGGAAAGGCAGTGCGACTGTTCAGCTCTGAGATCACACTGTGTGAACTGGGGAGACAGCATAGCTGTTCAGCTCTGAGATCACACTGTCTGAAAGGAAAGACAGCATGGCTGTTCAGCTCTGAGGTCACTGTGTGAACTGGGAAGACAGCGTGGCTGTTGATGACACACAGTGTGAACATCTGTGAAGACATCAATTCTGGGGCTGTACATGCCTTTTTTCTCACATTAGTTCTTTCTACGTGGCAGAGTTGGTTCTTCAGGAAAACAACTGTATTTCCAAAAGCTATAAAACTGTCATTAAAATACATAAGACATTAACAAGATTTATTGCATTCACAAGACAAATGGCTTCTTAATAGAATAACTTTTTTCTAAGTTTTTCACACCAGCAGACCTAAGCTTGATTAAAAGCAAAAATAAAATGTAGTGTGTGTATGTGCATTCCTGCCTCCTGTCATAACTAATGCATCAAATACCTGCATAAACTATGATTTAACAATGATCCATACAGCAAAGATTCATGTAAGAACTATCGGTAAGAAAATATCTCAGCCATGTCAGAAATAAAGATCCCCTGAATATTGGCCATTGAAGAGGCTCCTTTCCTCTCTGGCGACACCCACCGCGGTTCCTTTCATCAGGTTATGAATGGGCTGGAGAAGTGTCTCTGTCACAGTGCTGTTGTACAAGCACTCCACGGCACATTCTTTCTGGTCGCAGAGGATCTGCAGGACGTCAGTCACCATACTTGCCGGAGAGTAGTTCTCTGAGAAGCAGAAAGAAGGTCAGAGTCAGGACACCGCTCAGTGGGGATTTTCACTGTGCAATATTTCCTGCTCCACCAAGTGTTCAGGGAATTCAGCTGTTCAAAGACCACACAACTAAAGCCCAAAGATGAGAATTAGAACCTGAAACTTCTTATCTCAATCAGCTTACTATCTCTTCAAGCTAATAAAAAAAAATAACAAAAGACAATATACCATTTCTCAGTCAGACACCAAACGAAGCCTTGATATGGAAGATAAAGCTGAAAGACTCAACTTTTCCCTCCTAGAACACAAGTGCGTTATGTTCATTTTGTTCACGTTCTTTCTGTACTCGGGTGTATGAGGTTAGCAGAAGTTAGAAGCATTTAGATAGAACTCTGAGCAACAGGAAAGCACACAAAAACTGACACTTTCAGAAGGTGACACACTGCTATCCCGAAAGGCAGGGAGAACTAGGGCGTTCCTAAGACCATCCTTTAGAACAAGAGTTAGAAAGCCATAGGTGGAAGCACTTTTGTAACATGGCTGGAATGGGCACTGAAATAAATGTGATGATTTAATATTAGATAGCTAATCTACCCTCCTCACATTAATGTGATATGAGCTCCCTAAAAAGAAAGAGTACAAAACTACCAAGGTTTTTAAATTCAGGTTACAGTAGTCTTCATTCCGTAAGCATGTTAACTTCGAGTTCACACCTGACCGAAAAAGAAAGGTGTTAGTGATTTTTCAATCAGTTCCAGATGAGAAACCCTGTTTCCAGTGAGAAACACCTATCAAAGAGCACTTGGCCACTCACACGATCAAGTAAACACCTATTGAACAATGCACAGAGCACTGCAGCCTGAGAAGAAAGACAGACAGTAAGTCAAAATATTATTTTTAATAAGGAAGACCATTTTCACTATGAGCAATGCTATAGAAATATACAGCAGGGGTCTTAAGCTAGTACACCATTTGTGTAAAGACAGAGAGGGACTCGGAATCCCAGTTAAGAGCAGCACACTATTATAACCACACAGAAAATACCAACTACCTGGTACATAGCTTCCATGACTAATATATAACCCAATCCATTTTTTCTCTTACTTATTCCACTTCCTCTCAGAATATGTTCTAGCATTTCCAAGCTAGTTCCCAATTTTAAAAGACTATGGTCTACATTTCTATTTCTGGTATTATGTTTTACTTTGGAGATTTTTATTGCTATACAAAAGAAAAGTAAAAGTTATTTTAAATGGCAATAATATGAAACATTTTTATAAGCTGGTTAACATACATAAGAACAAATAGCAACTTAGAATAAAACATAAAGGACTTTTTTCTTTACACTTCACACAAAAAAAAAATCCCCAAAACAACTAAAATTTAGATTTGAACCATATGATTGTGCCTTAAAGTATTTTATTTATTTTTTATTTGAAAGGAGCTCATAGTTGAGAAACTCTGAAGTTTAAAAGATTTTGGATTTTGTTTGAAAGAGATTGAGTGTTTTTCATTATTTAAACTTTCTTATTTTTCTATGTGTCTTTCACATCATGCATCTCAATCCCATTCATCTCCTCTTCCTTCATATCCACCGTCTGCCCTTTCAACTTCCCTACCACGAAACTAAAATAAAATTTAAGAGAAAAGAAGAAAAATCTCATCATGAAAGTTATATTGTCCCATTGTGAGTCGTGCAGCAAACCCTCTTATCCACAGATTTTATGTGCAAGTGTACATTGCAAGGAGTCAGTGGTCTGGTTCAAGGCCTCTGGTTTCTGCTACACTATTGATCCTGGGCCCTCACTGGAACTGCTCTTGGATATCCTATTGCTGCCATGTGTGGCAGAGATCCTACATCTTCAGGTCTGCAGGACAAGACCCTTCATGTGCTCCAGCAGATCACAGATGGGGTGCATGTTGGGGTAGGCCAAGTCATAACCCTGGATCTGGGCCTAGGAAGTTTCAGGGCTGGTCAGCCTGCCAGGTCTCCTGTCTTCAATACCAGGGTGAGCTCTCCAGTGTTGCCCTTGCTAGTTCATTCCTTGATGCTATGAGCAAGGGGCGGGGCCAATTCTGCTTTCACTTCCTCAGGATTGGCTTTCCCACACACACAAATATATATATACCTGTATGGCTAGCTCTACAGTGTTGCCCAGGCAAAGTGGAGAGGCCACTCTCCCAAGTACTGCAGCTGGTGAGGGAAGAGATTGAATTTTAATGTGCTTAAATTTTTAAAAAACTCTGGAACCTTTAAATTTTGGGATATTCTATATTGTGATGTTCCTACTAGTGTGAGATCTAGATCTTGGGGATGTATGACAAAGGAAAGGTTGTGCATTAAAAGTGATGTGTTTGTGTGTCAAGTAGACAAGGGGTCAGTTGTGCCGGCTGGCTTTATGTCAACTTGACACAAGGTAGAGTTAATTGAGAGGAGGGCGTCTCAATCAAGAAAATGCCTCAAAAAGATCAGGCTATCAGCAGAACTGTAAAGCATTCTCTAACTTGACTGATGTGGAAAGACCCAATCCTTTGTGGGTGGGGCCACCACTGAGCAGGTGGCTCTGGGTTCTATAAGAAAGCAGGCTGAAGAAGCCTGTAAGGAGCACCCTTCCATGGCCTCCTGCTTCCTGGTTTCTGCCCTGACTCCCTGTGATGACGAACAATGATATGGAAATGAAAGCCAAATAAACCCTGCCCTCCACAAGTTGCTTTGATCATGGTATTTCATCACTGAAATAGCAAAGACAAACCAAAAACAAACAAGCTGAACAAAATACCTTAGAAAGGGCAAAGGGTAGACAATAATCAAATGGAAGCACATCTATCAATCAAATTCCTCTTGATATGACTTGAGAATCTTGATATTAAGAAAACATTAAAATCCTCAGCCAAACAGACTCCAAATTAAAACACTAATAGATTAGAGAAGTCTTTAAACATCTATGAACAAAACTGAACTCTATGGTTGACTTCAGAACCAATGTTATGTCTTACAAATAACGCAGAGTCTTAATAAAACCTATTTATCTTTTTTTTCCCCCAAGATCTCCTGAGTAAATTTGGAGCATGGGGGTCACGGGAGAGGATGAAAGAGGAGAGGGAAGGAAGAGAGGGGAACAGAGAAAAATGTATAGCTCAGTAAAAAGAATTTAATAAATAAATAACTTATATACCAAAATAGATAAGTAACTCAAAGCATCAAGAGAAAAGAAGACTCAGATGTTTATTGCTAAATAACTCAGAACATCAAGACAAGAGAATGCTCAAATGTTTAATTTCTTTTCCCCCATTTAAAAGAGATGCATCATGAGTTGAGTTTCCAGTACCACAGTTAATCAATCAACCAATCAATTTAGGAAGGGGGCATTTACCTGAATAAGCAACTGATGTCATCTTTGGACAACTTGGTGAATAATAGATGAGTTGAGTAAACAAAACCAGCAGATTTTTGAGAGACACTGAATCTTTACAAAAGAAAAAAAAAGAAGTAATTTGTAACATGCTTACAAGCTAAAAAACATTTATCTACATTCCACTCACTTGTAAGATTGCATCACAGCTTCAGTGTAAACCCACTGTGAACCCACTACTCCAGAACGCCATTAGAAGGCAGCTCCTACGCCAACTGTCATGCTATGCTAAGGCATAGTTCCGCCATCTGTTTGAAGCTGATCATTTAAATCCATGACAGATGCACGAGTCTTAGCATGGCTATTTGAGTTAAATCAATTATCACAAGTAAAATTCAGCTTACTATGTTGGATCAGCTAGCTTTTTTAGCATGGTAGAACAAGGTCAGCATTTTTTCCATGAAAGACTGTTACAATAACTTAAGCCTTCTGTCCAAATCATCACGAGCACTCGGGCTGGCTACTGGAGCATGAGGTGGCCATATACAATCAACAAATAAATGTTGAGTGAGAACCGTGAGTACTGACCATTCATGTTTTACACATGCCACAAAATAGTCTCTTTTTTAAGAGGTAAAAGACATGCCTAGCTCGCAAGAACACAAAGCAGATGGCAGGCCAGGTTTGGCCCGCAGGCTACAGTTTACCAAGACTTGCTGTAGAAGCTTTCATTAAGACATTCTGGGGAAAAAAAACTATATAATTTAAAGTTGATTGCTTGTCTCCGCATTCTCAAATTCAGTTTTGAAATGAGCTGCGATTCTAGATAGAGCAAAATACAGTCATTATAAAGAACATAAAATGCTAAATTTATTATAGATAAGAGGCATGTAAAGTTAAGATGAATACCTGCAAAACTATCAAGGCTAATCACTGGTCTTTCTAGTTCTGCAACATCCAGCAATACCATATGAAATAGTACCTCTGTCACTGAAGAGCTCATGATGTCCCCACACTGTCTTAAACTAAACGACACAGCCTTGAACATTGTAAGAGAAGTACATAATGTCCTGTCAGTTCTCAAGGAGCTCAAATAGATTAGGGCAAATAAAACAACTAGACAAAAGGGTTCACAACAAATAGACTCGGTAACAGCATCAATAAACTACAGTTCATATGACCAGATTTTGTAAGGCTGACAAGCTAAGAATGGATTTTCCGTTATTAAACTGTGTTAGAGGCCCTAAAACCCACGTTCTGATTTGATTGAGTCGGAAGACCCACAGGCCCCGTACAATCATGTTCACATGACACATTACAATAAAACTATACAAAGCAAAATCAAAAAGAAAGGTTACTGAAGGCAAAATCCAGAGCTAATCAGGCACTAGTTTCTGACGGCCTCTCCCAGGGGATCCATGCAGAATGCATTCAATTCCTCTAGAAAAGCCCACTAGAGATGCAGTAACCAAGGCTTTTCTTAGGGGGCGTTGTGAACACAGACACACCCTCTGTCCAGTACATGTCTAAATTTTCAACTCCCAAAAATAAGCCTGGTTTTAACATAAACGACAATGTTGTACAGTTTAGGCACAGGGGGTAGTAGACACAGTTTAAGTACCTTCGTCAGTGCTATAACTAGCAGGAGTTCAACTCCCCATATGCCAACCAAGAGTCAAGCTTGCAAACAAGCTACTCTAAGGAAAGCAGTCTCAGGACGGCTGTGTTAACTTTCTGTACAACCATAGACATACTATATTATCCAACAAGGCCATAATATTAACTGTCAGCTTTCAGAAAGTGTGCTGAACTCTGCTCTATAATGCATTCTTAGTATAGATAAAATATCTGTGGAAAATAAAAGATGATAACTGATCTCCAATTTGCTAAATCAAATGAGACAGAGTAAAAACAGTATAGTAACACACGATATGATGCTCTCCCCAGCATCATCCGATGTGCTGGCTGTTTTGTGTCAACTTGACACAAGCTAGAAAATCACTTCAGAGGACGGAACCTCGGCTGAGAAAATGCCTTCCTACGATAAGGCTGAAGGCAAGCCTGTAAGGCATTTTCTTAATTCGTGATGGAAATGTGAGGAACAAGCTCATTCTGCGTGCTGTCATCCCTGGGCTGGTGATCCTGGGTTCTTTAAGAGCGCAGGTTGAGCAAGTGATGAGGGCAAGTCAGTAAGCAACGATCCTCTGTGGCCTCTGCATCAGCTCCTGTCTCCAGGTTGCTGTCCTGAGTTCCTTCCAGTTTCCTAAGTGATGGACTTAGAAGCTTTAAGGGGAAGTAAACCCTTCCCTCCCCAGGTGGCTTTTGGTTATGGTGTTTATCACAGCAGCAGAAAACTGAACTAAGACAGAAATCCCCAAGTTGTCATATTAATATCCCAGATTAAAACTTAATATAACTTTAAAGGTCCCCCAGTGTTTAAAAATTCAAAAACATTAGAAGTTTAGTGTCTTTAAGATATGCAAAATCCTAAAATATTCAGTCTTTGTAAAATATCTGATGTCCCTCTACAAGGTCCAAAATATCTGTAAAATTCTTAAGCCTCTCAAAAATTCAAGTATCTCAACTGTGGGCTCCTATAAAAGACAAAATAAGTTTCACATTTTCTTACTTCAAGAAGGGAGACTCAGGACAATCATAATCAAATATAAGCACGGCAAACATTTGGTGGTGTAAAAAATTCAATGTCTGATGTATGGGACCCAGTCACAATCCTCTGATGCCAAAGGACTCCATTTGGCCAGCTCTGCCATGCACATCACAAACAGCTTGTCCTGAAGGCTGAGTGGCTCTCATCCACTACCACCTTGGATGTAGTTCCAAGGTACTAGTCTCTAAAATACCAGACTCTCTCCTGCAGCTGGGCTATATCTTCATCAATAGCTTCTCCAAGGCTCTCTTTGGGGGCCTCTGACCCTTCCACATGGTGTTACCCCTTAACCTCTCTCCATGCCATCTCCAATCTTGGGGCTCCTTCTATAATTAATGCTGCACCTTCACCAACGGGCTTCTATTACACTCTCACATGCCACACCTTGGCTGTTCTCCAGGACCTCATCACGCTTTAAAAACCAGAAACACCCAGTAGACTCTTGCTCATTACCAAGTTCCGCTGCCAGCACCAGGGACAGCTTTGGGCACCTCTAGACCACAGCTTCTGTGTGCTGACCCTGAGGAAGCACATCCCCAGAAGATTCTGCCTCACTGGTTCTCTTCTCTTCTAATCACAGCTGATTCTTCAGTCCTAGCTGGCCAGCAGAGTAAAAGTTTCTTTTCAATGATTCAAACGATCACTTAAACTGTCCCAGTAGAATCGTTAAGGGACTCTGAAAAGTTACAAGCCAGGCCTCCACTACCTGCATTGCTCTCAACATCCTAAATGCCCACAGAGCTTTGAGCACTCAATGGCTTTACAAGCCCAAAGTTCCAAAGTCGGTCTCCAATCCTCCTCCAAATGGTGTGGTCAGGCCTGTCACAGCAACACCCCATGACCTAGTACCAATTTCTGGCTTAGTTCTGTTTTCTGTTGCTAAGATAAAACACCATACTCAAAAGCAACTTGGGGAGGAAAGAGTTTACTTCACCTAAAGCTCCTAAGTCTGTCACTGAGAAAAATCATGGCAGAAACCCTGGGAAGCAACCTGGAGACAGGAGCTGATGCAGAGGCTATGGAGGAGGGCTACTTACTGATTTGCCCTTGAGGCTTGCTTAGCCTGCTTTCTTACAGAAGCTAGAACCAGCAGCCCAGGAGTGATCCCACCCTTCCCTGAAAGATCACAGACAATCCTTAGGCTAACCCAAATTTTTAAATGGTCTTCTAGTTTCGTATCCAGAATTGAATCACCAAGTATGTCTAGACTAGAGTTTTAGAAAAATGAAATAAGAGAATAATTAAATATATATACAGTAATAAGCACATACTGATACTGAAAAGAATAAAGACAGAAAAAATTGCAACAGTACATATGACTACAAGGTATGTAGCTAAGAGCCTATGCTAGTTGAGTTTCCTTTGTAGACTTAATACAAGCTAGAATAACCTGAGAGCCTCTATCAGATTGCCTATAGGCATGCCTATAGGGCATTTTATTGCCTGATGATTGATGGGAGAGAGCACAGCTCATTGTGGGTAGCACCACCCCTTGGCAGATTTTCCTGCTGTGTATAAGAAAGCAGGATGAGCAAGCCAAGGGATACAAAGCCAGTAAGTAGCACTCCTCCAAGGCCTCTGATTTAGGTTTCAGTATTGTGTTCTCCAAGTTTCTGTACTAAATTCCTTCTCTGATTTTCCTTCATGGAGGACTATAAGTTATAAGATGAAATAAAGCCTCTCCCCCTCAAGTTGTTTTTGATAACAGTATTTAATCACAGGAATAAAGAGCAAACTAATGGTGCCAAGCAGATACTGTGGTATTCTCATAGATTTAAAAGCTTAATCAGGAAATGGAAGCATTAGAAGCATTAGGAGGTGTGGCCTTGTAGGAATGGGTGTGGCTTTGTTGGAGGAAGTATGTCACCAGGGCTGAGCTTTGAGGTTTTAAAAGCCTGATCCAAGCCGAGTGTCTCTCTCTTCCTGTTGCCTGTCTATCTGGATGCTTCTCCAGCATGATGTCTGCCTGCATGCCACCATGCTCCCAGCCATGATGACAATGAACTAAACCTCTGAAACTGCAGCAAGCCCCCAATTAAATGCTTTCTTGTATAAGAGTTGCTATGGTCATAGTGTCTCTTCACAGCAACAGAACAGTGACTATCACAATACTAAGCCAAATTTATAAATATGAACCTGTATACTATAAATTATATCATATCTTTACCTACTCACTTATTCTAATAGCACTTACCTTTTCTATTCTTCAGCTTTATGGGAAATAGTTTTCTGCCTTGTGTATATATCAACAATCTTCCTAAAAGGCACAGCGAGTGAATGAAATAAATATACTGCAGCTCTTGTCCTGAGTAGAAGAAACTTTTTTGCTTGTCTCCTGAGAATAGAAGTAAAAAAGACCATTTACTTTAATAATAATGTATTTCACAATACTTGTCTTCAATCCCTCTTGACAATCAAACATGTTATCATCTATGTTGTAGACACTGCTGATATAAACTTTTAATATTTATTTTCCTCAATATTTCTAATCTTGTACAGTAGATCAGAGGGGGGAGTAGTCATTATAAAATTGGTAACCACTGTTGCCAGTGTTCAATCCAAAAATACCATCATACTGCCAAATTTACTCATCACCAAAGACAGACGTCAAAAAAAAGTGACAAAAAAGTTATTTAATTTTTACCACTGTGCTGGTTTTAACTGTCAACTTAATGCAACCTATAAACCCCTAGGCAGAGAGTCTTAATGATAAATATCTAGATCAGGTTGGCTTTTGGGCATGTCTTAGGGAAATCATTTGGATTGTTAATTTATATACAAAGACCCTGGCCAAAGTGAGTGGTAAAATTCTCTAGACAGTGGTCCAGAACAGTTGGAGAGCAAACAAGCATGGATCTGCTTTTATTCTGTGTGTAATAAATGTGGATGTGCTACCTTAGATCAAATGAGCATAGATCTGTTTTTATTCTCTGTTTTTAACTGGGGATGTGATGTTTTAAGTTCCTGCCTTGATGTCCCCCATAATAATGAACTGTAACCTGGACTTGTCAGCCTAATAAACTTTCCTCCCATCTGCTGCTGTTTGTCACAGCTACAGAAATAAAACAGGAGCAACCACATAAAAAGGCAACACAGATAAAGTTTACGGAAATGTCCCAATATTGAATAAGGACTAAAAATACATTGGGCATAGTTCTGGTCCCAAGCATTTTGATGAAGGGATATTTAGTTTGTACTACATACAATAGGTCATACTGATTACAATCATGCTTGCAACTAAAATTAGAATCTCTAAAACAGGAATCATACCTTATCTATTCCCCATTCATTTATCCATCACCCATATGTTCAAGTTATATTGAGCATCAATTTTATAAGATCCTAATCTATTCACTGGTATTTAGAATTATTCAAAAGGGCAAAGGAGATAATTCGGTTAATGAACTGTTTACCTTGAAAGAACAAAGAATTGAATTTCACTCCCAGAATACATTAAGAACAAACAACAATAAACAGCATTGTGGCACGTGCTTATAATCTCAGCTCAGAGAAAGCAGACAATATGCTCCTGAGACTCCCTGGCCTTACAGATTAGCCTACTCAGCAAGTTTCAGGCCAGCTTAAGGTCCTGTCACAAGGAAGGAAGGTGGTCCCCAAGAAATGACATCTGAAGTTGAACTCAGGTTTCCACGTGCACATGCACCCTCACACATGTACACCTACACCCACAACTCACGTAAAAATCCATACATATACAAACATATATATATACTATATATACACATATACAGACATCCATAACTCACATAAACATGCATACGTGGTCAGACATATATACACTATACATATACATATGCAAACAGATACCCACAACTCACATAAACATGAATGCATATATACACTATACATACACATACATAAACAGATACATACACATACACACACACACACCTTGAAAACTACAGTAAGTAGCATGAAACTTGTCTTTCCATTCCGTGTTCCATAACAACATGGTACAATCAGAACGCTGGAGGACAAGTGAGAGAGCTCAGAGGATAAAAGTACTAGACCACAGAGGACTACGGCACAGAGGGGATTTGAGGCCATGGGGAAGATATTGGAGGGATTTTAGAAAAACAATGCAATTGAACATGAATTGTCAAGAATGGACCATGATAGCAGGACAGAAGTTGATGAAACAAGGTCAAAGTCTGAAGTAAGAAACTCCCTTTCAAAATTATGAACCAGGGGCTAGAGAAATGACTGAGGAGGGAAGGGCACATACTGTTCTTCCAGAGGACCCAAGTTCAGTTCCCAGCACTCAGGTCAGAAGACTCACAACTGCCCATACGCCAGGTCCACAGGAGGCCCTCTTCTGGCCTCCACAGGCACACACCTCCATAAAAACACATAAGTGCAATGCATACAGTTAAAATTAAAAATAAATCTTTTAAGAATATATAAATAAAGGTATTAGCAAAGAGGAAACAGACAAAAATACATGTTTCAGGAGATTAAATCAATATGACTTAGCAAGAATTACACAATAACATCAAAAGAATGAAAAAAGTAGGGAAAACTCACGTTCATAGCTTTATGATAAATTTCTTCATATACTTTTAAGCAATTCTAATAACAAAAACAATAGGGTGAGAGAGAATCAACATTAATTTGGGTCTTTGGTGTTTAAAGCCCTACAAGTGTCGATGTAACATTCCAACAGCAACGTTAAGTAACACCCAAGTGTGAAATTCAGGAAAATTATATGCCCTTGAAGATTTCGGTTACCATTTACATTACATAAAATTAAGTAAATACCTAAAGCCATGAAACTCAATGGACTCTCCCAAAAGGAGAAGCAGAGTGCACGGGCAGGGGGGTGAACAAGCAAAGTTTCTGGGAATGAATAAAGAACAGAGAAGCACGTCTCAGGTGAAAGAGAACAGCCTATCAGATAAGGAGGAGGAATCCAAACAAGAGTGATGAGTGTTGGACTGGAGAGATGGCTCAGAGGTTAAGAGCATTGCCTGCTCTTCCAAAGGTCCTGAGTTCAATTCCCAGCAACCACATGGTGGCTCACAACCATCTGTAATGGGGTTTGGTGCCCTCTTCTGGCCTGCAGGCATATGCACAGACAGAATATTGTATACATAATAAATAAATAAATAAATAAATAAATGTTTTAAAAAAAGAGTGACAGTGTTATGAAAAGGGAGAAGACTCAGAGGTTTAGTCTGTGAAATGGGGGGAGACGGGCAGGAAAGCATGGACTCAGGAATGGGGAGGCCACATGGTACTGAAGGAGGAAGCTGCATTTCTATGGATGAAAAAGGAGACGAGATGAAGAGCTGGAGCCTGAAAGAAAATGAACACTTCTAGTAGATTCCTCCCAGATTTGAAGGCCGGCAGAGAGGTCATCCGCACGTGCAGCACAAACAGGCTGTTTTGGTTTTGTTTTTTTTTAATGAATAATACACACACATGAGCGCAATGCAGAGGAAGGTACCAGAAGGAAGTCCACATGGTGGCCCTGGGGTGTAGTTCAGTGGGAGACAAGGTGTCTAGCATGGACAGTGCCGTGGGTTTGGGTCTAAGCACCAGCAGAGAAATAGAAGGCCACAATACAGCCACTGATGACTATTTTTTATTTATTTATTAAAGATTTCTGACTCTTCCCTGCCACCGCCTCCCATTTCCCTCCCCCTCCTCCAATCAAGTCCCCCTCCCTAGTTAGCCCAACTATTTTTAGAGCACACACAGAAACTGCAACAGGATCAAGAGGGCAATCTAAAATACCACACTGTCATGGTTAGGGTTATAGAAACTGGAAACAAATTACAGAAAGACCTGGGGAGAAAGCACTGAGATAGAGAAGACGTCTCCTGAAACAAACCTGTGGAGCATTTTCCTGATTGGTGTGGGAGGCCCTGGTCTACTGTGATGGAGGAGGGTCATCTTTCTATCTGTTGTTTCATTGGTTAAGTAATAAAGAAACTGCTTGGCCTCTGATAGGACAAAAAATTAGGTAGGCGGAGTAAACAGAACAGAATGCTGGGAGAAAGAAGCTGAGTCAAGGAGTCGCCATGATTCTCCCACTCCAGGCAGACGCAGGTTAAGATCTTTCCTGGTAAGCCAGCTCGTGGGCTACACGGATTAGAAATGGGTTAGATCAATATGTAAGAGCTAGCCAATAAGAGGCTAGAGATAATGGGCCAAGCAGTGTTTAAAAGAATACAGTTTCCATGTAATTATTTCAGGTAAAGCTAGCCGGGTGGCGGGACACAGCCCGCCACTCTTACTACACTACTGAGAGGGGTGTGTAACAAAGCAGGCTGCCAAACCACAAGTAGCAAGCCAGGGAGAGCATTCTTCCATGGCCTCTTCTGCTTCAGCTCCTGCTTCCAGGATCCTGAGGTGAGTTTCTGCCCTGACTTCCTTTGATGATGAACTGCAATGTGGAATTGTAAACTGAAATACACCCTTTCCTCCCCAGTTTCTAATAGCCATGGTGTTTTATCACAGCAATTGAAATCCAACTAAAATGCCTCTGTATTATAGGCTGGGGAAATATTAGAGGCTGCAGAGTCTTACTCTCTAGCAAACATTCATGTTATCCAAATACAAAGCATAAGGTTTCTCATTCACGACACTAGTCCCTAGAGTTCCTAGTGTCAAAAATTACCACTCCATTGCCTGTAGCTGTATGTCAATCTTCTCCACAGCACGAAGCTTCTCTCCTTAGCACACTGCATGTTCTTCACATCTTTCTATTCTATCTCCTGATCTCTCACTCTAACTGCTAGCCAGAAACGGTAACAGCCACGTATAACCTGAAGAGTAAGCTGAGATTTTTGTTTGTTTAAAAATTTTTATTGAGATTATGACATAATTGCATATTTCCCCCTTCCCTTCCCTCCTTCCAAGCCCTCCCACGTACTTCCCTCACCTTGCCCTCTTCCAAGTCTATGGCTTTTGTTGTTACATGTGTGTGTTTATATAAATATACACATACGTATTTATTTATTTCAAAATACCTAAATACAACCGACTCAGTCTGTATAATGTTACTTGAATGTTTGTTTCAGGGCTCACCATTTGCTATTGGTGTGCTCTTCCCTGAGGGAGAGGATTTCTTCAGCTCGCAACATTCCTTCCCCCAAACATATTACCAAATCTACTGGTGCCAGTCATATTCAGGTCCTGGATAGGCAGTCATATTGGTGAGACTTTCATGGACATAACTTCTGATATTTCCAGAAGATAAATCTCATAGTAAATTCCCTGCTGCTTTGGTTCTGCCATGCCATTTTTAAATATCTTCCACCAATAAATTGGTCTATTACCTTTAATTCAACTGCACTGAAATTTTCTACTCAGGCAGAGCATAGCCCAGTTCATTCCAGATGTTATGTGAATGGCCTTTAACCAGGAACCTGATACCTCCCTTGCCCTGTAAAACCCTGTAGGGATAACCCACACTCACTGCATCTCTCCCGGAATTTCAGTCCCTAGAGCCCCCGCTAGCATAGTCTGCTAAGCACTTTCTGCTGCCTTATGTTGCTTCTCCAGAATGCCAACATCTTACATACTCCTCCCAGAAATCGTGTTCAAAGGGACTAAGAGCCGCATGGCCAGTTTGGCACAGAGATGAAACTCTTTCTAATACTTCCTCTTGATCACTGTGTCAAAATGCCTGACAAAAGCAATTTAATTGCAAAGAAGTCTGTGTTGCTCTCAGTTTGGAAGATATAACTCATCATGGCAGAAAGGGCATTAATAAGACAAGTCCTATCCAAGGTTGGCAAACCTATAGTCAAACTAATCAAAAGATTGACAAAAACAAATTAATAAAATCATATTTTTTAATTCATAATATCGTTATAAAACACATAAAATCTAAAAGAAACAAATGAAAATCAAGACAGACATGATCTGTCAAAATTAAACTAAAATGAAATAAACTATTTTTAGATGTATTTGTATAGGTAGGGGTGTTTTGCCTGCATATTGGCCTGATGAATGCCTGGTACCTTTGGATGCCATAAGAGGCAACAGATTCCCTAAAACTGGAATTACAGATGGTTGGGAACCACTCTGTGGGGACTAGGAATTGAACCAAGGTTCTCTGAAGATCATCCAGTGATCTTAACCTGACTCTGTCCCCTGTCTAGCCCCAAAATAAACAATTTAAAGAGATCTAGAGCAAGCAGTGAGTTTGATGCAGAGAAAAACAAAATCTCCCAGCTAAAACAAGTCCCGGCCATACACATTCACTGTTGGATCTACCAGACCTTTACAGAGGAGCTGACACTTGTGCTTTTCTAACTATTCCATAAAACAGAAAGAGGAGGACAGCTACCACACACTTTGAACAATGTCAGTATTACTCTGCAACCCATGTCTAATTAAGACACAACAATAAAAAAAAAAAGAAATTATGGACCAATCTTTCTGAAGAACATTATATGTGGGCATTCTCAATAAAATAATTACAAACTGAATAAGAGATAATTCATCATGATGAAGCTGATTCTACTCCATAGATACAGAGATGGTTCAATATATACAAACCAATAACAATAATATACTAATAAACAAACCAGAAAAATCACAAAATTATCTCAATAGATATATCTGAGGCTTCTAAAATTCCACCATCCTTTCATGATAAAAGTCCTGAAGAGATTAGGAATGGAAGAAACATGCCTCAACATAGCAAAAGACATCAGTCATGCTAAGTGGGGAAAATAAAAAAATACTTCCGCTGAGATCAGAAACAAGACTAGGGTGCCTGTCCACTTCTGCTAATTATGTAATAGAGTACTTGAAGTACTGTCTGTCTACATTTACCAACTATTATACAATAGAATAGTAGATAGAACAGTAAGATAAGAGGATACAAATAGAAGTCAATGTATTCTTATTTACAAAAATTACTGAACACATAGAGGACCCTAAAGGCATCATAAGAAAACCGATGAACACTTTCAACAATATGACAGGGCACAAAATTAACAAAAAAAAAAATCCACATAAAAAATCAGTAGCCTTCCTATTTGACAGAAAAAAAAAGCATTCTGAGAAAAAAAATCAAGAGATCAATTCCATTCATAATGCCTCAAAACAAAGTCCTCATTATAAACTGAACCAAAGAAGTGACTGACCTCTACAAATAAAACGTTAAATACTGAAGACGTAAATATAAAATGAAAATGGCTATATTACCAGAAGCAATCTGCAGTTCAATCCAATTCTCATCAAAATTCTGGTGTTATTTGCCACAGAAATATTTAATCTCAAAATTCACATGGAAGTACTACAGACCCTAGGGAGACAAAGCGATCCTTACTAAAAAAAAAAAAAAAAAAAAAAAAAAAAAAAAAAAAAAAAAAGGCTAAGTCTGGAGGAACTGATTTCTAAAGTCACAGTAACATAACCTATGGTACCAACGCAATTCAAATAAATACAATCACCTCATTTTTTTTTTTTTTTTGCAAAGGGGCCAAAAAGACACACTGGAGAAGACAGCCTGCTTACTAAATAGCGCAGGGACAATTGATATCTTTGCATGTGAGTATGAAACTATACATTTATCTTTCAATCTGAACAAATAATCTCAAAATGGACCCAAAAATTCAAAATAGTACCTGAAATGCTAAAACTGCTAGATCATAAATTGGGGAAGACACTTCAAGATAAACTTCTCAATAGAACTTTGCTGCTCAGGAAATAAAGCCAGCAATCAATAAATGGGGCCTCATATCCAAATGTCCGGACAACAAAGCGAGCAGTGAACCGAATGCCGGCAGCCTACACAACACGGGAAAATCTGTGCTAGCTACACATCAGACAGAAAATTAGTATCTAGAATACACAAGTAACTCCAGAAACAAAACCACAGGAAATCAAACACCCCAAACAGAAAATGAGCCAATGAAATGAATGACGGTTCTCAAAGATGAAAGAGAACTGATGAAAGAATAATGAATCATGTTAAAAAATTAAGCTAGTCTCAGGCAAAAGCATTTTCTCTCATTTTAGTTCCATGTCATACACATAAAATTATATATATATATATGCACATGTTACAAATAATCATTTTGTATATACATGATTTATTACACACATATATGTGCATCTATACAAATATGTATATGATATTAAAGCAGAGGTCAGACTGTCTAGGAGAATAAAAGACACGGGATGGGAAGTAAAAAAGAAGATAGAGAAACATGGTAGGGATGAACTGTATTCAACACATACAATATATGCACCTTAAAAGAAATACAGTATCATGTACAATGAATATTGTATTTTTAAAATAAGATATTTAAGAAATGGAAGCCATTACTAAGTTGCTAATAATGAAGTTAGCCATTTTAGCATATGTAATAAAACAATACTTACCACAATGCTTTGAATGTCCCAAAATGTCATCAGTTCTCATAGTCTCACACAATTCCAAGTACTGAACACACTGCTGAACTGCTGTAGTTATCTGATTAAAAAAATAATAATAACAGTTGATTGGCTTCAGAAATACATAGCCACTGTGTCCAAAAATTCAAAAATTAATCAATGCTATTAAAAAGGCTAATTATGTATATGTATGAAATACTATATAAGATCCTATCACTGAAAATGCTGACCGTGAAAATTAATCTAAGAACATACAAATTGAGAAAACTACTCCATTAACTGTTAACTTATTGTTAAAATTTAAACTACAGGTACTGGGTAGAGAGATCAGAGGTTATAACAACACTTGTTCTTACAGAGAACCAGGTTAAACTCACAGCCATCTGTAAAACTGTTATCTTATTGCTCAATCCAGGACCTCAATATTGGGTTTTTTTGTTTGTTGATTTTTATTGAGCTCTACATTTTTCTCTGCTCCCCTCCTTGCCTCTCCCTTCCCCTTCAACCCTCCCAAGGTCCCCATGCTCCCAATTTACTCAGGAGATCTTGTCTTTTTCTACTTCCCTCAAGAACTATATTGAATAGATTTAGAGAGACTGGACAACGTTGTCTTGTTCCTGGGATCACTGGGAGTTTCTCTCCATTCAGTTTGATGTTGGCTGTTGGCTTGCTGTATATTGTCTTTATTATGTTTAGGTATGTTCCTTGAATCCCTGCTCTCTCTAAGACCTTTATCATGAAAGTGTATTGTATTTTGTTTAATGCTTTTTAAATATATAATGAGATGATCATGTAGTTTTTATTTTACAGTTTATTTATATGGTTGATTACACTGACAGATTTTCATGTATTGATTTTTGATAAAGGAGCAAAAAAATGTAAAATGGGAAAAAGAAGGCATATTTAACAAATGGTGATGGCAAAACTGGATATCAACATGAAGAAGAATGAAAAGATATCCATATCTATTACCATGCACAAAACTCAAGACCAAATAGATCAAAGTCCGCAATATAAAGCCAACCACATTAAACCTCAAAGAAGAGAAAGTGGAAAGTACACTTGAACACATTGGCACAGGCGTCAACTTCCTAAACATAACCCCAGCAGCACAGACACTGTGAGAAACAATTAATAAATGGAACTTCTTGAAATTGAGAAGCTTGTGTAAAGCAAAGAACATGATCAACAAGAAAAAATGACAGCCTACAGAATGGGAAAAATCTTCACCAACCCCACATCAGAGGACTGATCTTCAAAATATACAAAGAACTCAAGAAATTGGTCATCAAAAGAAAAACTATTCCAATAAGAAGAAATGGAGTGCAGACCTAAACAGAGAACTCTCAACAGAGGAATCTAAAATGGCTGAAAGACACATAAGGAAATGTTCAACATCCTTAATCATCAGAGAAATGCAAATCAAAAACAACTCTGAGATTACATCTTACACCTGTAAGAATGGCCAAGATCAAAAACACTGATGACAACTTATGCTGGAGAGGAGATGGGCTAAAGGGAACATGCCTGCATTGCTGGTGAAAGTGCAAATTGGTACATCCCCTTTGGATATCATTATGGAGATTTCTCCGAAAATTAGGAAACCTTCCTCAAGACCCAGCAATACCACTTTTGAATATATATCCAATTGTACAACAAGGATGTGTGCTCAACTATGTTCATAGTGGCATTGTTTGTCATAGCCAGAACCTGGAAACAACCTAAATGCCCATTGACCAAAGAATGGATAAGGAAAATGTGGTACATTTACACAATGGAGTACTACACAGCAGAAAAAAAAAATGACATCTTGAGATTTGCAGGCAAATGGATGGATCTAGAAAACATCGTATTGAGTGAGGTAACGCAGAGCCAGAAAGACAAATATCATACGTACTCACTCATAAGTGACTTTTAGACATAAAGCAAAGAAAACCAGTCCCAGAGAACCTACAACAAAGAGGATCCTACGGGAGACATGCATGATCTAATCTACATGGGAAGTAGAAAAAGACAAGATCTCCTGAGTAAATTGGGAGCATGGGAATCATGGGAGAGGGTAGAAGAAGAGGGGGAGGAAGAGAGGGGAGCAGAGAAAAATGTAGAGCTCAATAAAAAAATAAAGCATTAATAACAGCAAAAAAAAAATCTATTTCAATTGTCCTACACCTTTTCCAGACCACTGGCCTCTAGAAATAAAGTCCCCTGCTATTAGTCATTGCTCCTCTCCCCTTCTCCAGCTATATCCTCTACATTGTCAAACACAAAATCAAGTTTTCCCATGGTCACTTTTTGCTCCATTGCTCAAATTCAAAAATTCATAATTTCAGGAATCCTCCATTCAAATAACTTACAGATTGAAAGTTCTGCCTCAATACATAAGTCATATTTATTACCATCTTAAATGCATTTTAAAATTACATGTTTTCATGTTTGTCAATTATTATCTGTTTTATTCATTTCTTTTCAATTCCTTTCTGTATCCTTATACATTATTACATATAGCAATGGACATGGCTATTTGTGGTAAGACATTAATTGTATCTAGCTGTATTTAGTAAAATTCAGATCAATTTTTTGCAAACACAAAAGCATTTCTCACTGAGTCTTTTTCAGGCCACTTTCACACAGCATATCAGTATATTTTATAGAAGCAACTGCATTATTAATAGCTGACCTGAGTCAAATTTCACGTTAATACCTAAAAATATGGCTTCTTTCAAGCCAGTCTATCATTTAAGGCAGCCCAATTTGTCATATCTTCCCTGTTTCCTGTTTCCCTTATTGTACATTAAGACTCAACTTTTATCTCTTTACATTTCATAGAATAGGAGTTTACGATTACATTAAAAGGGATTGCCTCATTACCCAATATGAATCACTGTCACTCAACTTTGCATATTTAAGACACTGATACATTACATAACTTTTTTGTGATATTATTTCTCAGCAAAAAAAACCAGGCATGCTTACCAGAGATTTATATTTCTTTTCAAGTAGTCTTAGTACTACAGTTCTGCTGTAATACGCATGCTAAAATTAAAGAGAAAAGCATTTAATGTTAAAGGTATACCATTTAAAATCCATTTCCTCCATCGTTTACAATATCATAAACCACACCATAACTATGGTTTAAAATATTATAATCAATGTCAAGCAGAGTTTACCTCTGTGCAATGAACTACAAGCATAGGAATCACAAGAATGCAAATTGCATAAAAGTAGTGTAGACCATTTAGTGACAGATTAGAGATGAGGGCAACAATTCATTACCTACATCCAATTTCTATGCTAGTTTGTTTAAAAAGAATACCTCCCAGCTAGCAGTGTATGAACCAAGGTGGGATAATATGTAAATGAGAGGGGCAAAGACCACTAATCAGATACTGACTACACACACAGAAATTTGCAAAGGTGAGATTCTCCAACAAGACAACATCTTTGCAACTCTATATCAATATTATTTTTAAATAAATGGCAATGCTCAAAATGTCTTTATTTCCTTTGGACCAATATTAGATGGAATTAAACACATACATATACGACACTGCAAGATGCCAAGGGTAAGTTTTTTAGCTAAGCAACTTTAATGCTTAAATTTGTTCCTTCATTTTATTTAAAAACAATAAAGTAATTAAAACATCACTAAAAACTTCATCAGAATTCTGGTGATAGAATTTTTAACGCATTAGTCAGTGCTTTTATTCAAAGTTCACCAAAACCCTGTGTGATTAGCTCTTTGGCTTAAAATCACTTCAATTAGTCCATTTCTCAGTATTAATAGAGAACATATGCTGGCATAAATGAAACTACTTTAGTATTACCCTATTCTGTCAGGCATGGTGATTGAGAGCTATAATCCCCAGCATTTGGGAGATGGAGGTATGAGAATTAGAATTCAAGTCCATTTCGATTACATAATGAGTTCAAGACCAACCTGGTTCAAAACAGAAAGTTCAGCAAACTATAGCCCTAAAACCAAATCTACCCACTATGAATTTGTATAAATGTCTTATTGGAATAGTCTGTATCTGATACCATTTAGACTGAAAAGCTGCAAAACGTTCAGTGCACAAAACTATAAACACTGACTGCCCGGCCCTATCCATTAAATGTCTGTCAACTCTTACCTTAGACACAAATGGTACAGGGGAATGAGATAAATTCCTGTTGCTTTAAGGAGCATAAATAAAATAATTAATTTAATATATTTTTAGTGTTTAATTTTGGTGATCTGCCTCATTCACTTAATGAAAATCAAAATGTTAAGTAAAAAGGCTTTGCAAACAGTTATCAGAATATAATTTAATTTTTGTTTAAAACACTTAACCATATTGTTACATATTATGTAAATATGAATCTATATAAACCTAGGATGTGGGATTCCCCTCTGGATGCTATGAATACCATTAGTTAATAAAGAAGCTGCTTTGGGTCTACTGTAGAGCAGAATAGGGCAAAGTGGGAATTCCAAGCAGCTAGAGGAGGAGAGAGTAGGTAGAGTCAGAGGGACACCATGTAGCCACCAGAGGAGAAAGACGCCCACTCCAGTACCAGTAAATCACGAGCCTCGGGGTAAAATATAAAATAACAGGAATGGGTTATTTAATATATAAGTGCTAGTCAATAAGAAGTGTGAGCTAATAGGCCAAGCAGTGATGTAATAATACTGTTTCTGGGTGATTATTTCGGATCTGGGTGGCCAAAAAACCAATGAGCAGCCTCTGCCTACAATCTAGGATTTAATGGTGACCCCTGTGTTTTACAGGGTTTTCTTTAATATGCTTTTATGCTTTTTGCATATTGCCTTCAATGAAACTAGTTTCATCTTTGAGAAAATTAAAAAGCATCAAATGTAGGGTACAAAAGATTCAGGTTAATTAAACTGATTTAATTAATACTAATAAATTTAAAGACTACCAAACAGTACTACATAGGTTATGTAAGGTCATGCACACTACAGTGTTGTGCTCTAATAAACTGGGCACATATCACAGACTTTCAACATCCGAAGACAAAGTCAGCTTTCAACTGCTCTGCTGAATTCAGAGAGGGTCACACTTGCATGGCAAGTCCCTGTCCCCTCCCTCTCTCTGCTCCAGCGAGACAAAAACCCAGAGCTGGGTAGACAATGTGCGAGAGAAAGACTTGAGCACAGAAATCAGCGTTGCTGTTGCTACAGGATAGGGACTCTGCTACTTCACACCAGCTGGTGGGAGACGGCACAAAGATCGCTTTAACATGACTTCCAGCTTGGGGATGTCCTAGGCTTCACTGGAAACTGCCAGATTCAGGCATTAGACATATCCCCAAATATAGGGACAGGAAGCAGCAAACAAAACTGATTCTGGGCATTGGCCTCTAAACCAGTGGTTCTCAAACTGTGGGTCTCAACCCCTTTGGAAGCTGCATATCAGATAGTCAGCATATCAGATATTTATACTGCAATTCAAAACAGTAGCAAAATTACAGTTATGGAGTAGCAAGGAAATAATCGTATGGTTGAGAGTCACCATGACATGATGAACTCTGTTGAAGGGTCTCAGCATTAGGAAGTGCGTTGAAAACCAATGCTCTGAACCTAAGAAAAATGAGCCCTGAATCCTTGTACCTGCCACAGTTATTTATATTTTTATAGGCTTAGATTCATGGATATTAAGATCCATGATAGATCATTCATCTTGAATAGACTCAAATAGATCACTTCATAAAAATCCCATCCTGACTTGCACTATGCAAAACATTCTGAGCAAAATATCTTCCCCATGCTTTATATCTGACACAAACGAACAGGGCACTGGCCCCTACCACCACTTCCATCTGTGTACAGGTAAAAGGATTAACATATGCAGAAAATCAATTAGAATTCAGCATACACCAGGCACACAAAGCTGGCCAGTCGCTAAAATCATAGAGAAGAATCAATTTTTCCTTACCATCCATTTTTTGAACCACACAGCTTTAGTATCAACTAATGCGAGAAAATAGATGGGATCCAAAATCTTCTGTGAGACAAGATGGCTTTGATCATGTTTTACCGATAACAGGGACAAAGTGCTCTCCACAATTTCCTCCATATACCTTAGATTTGGGGGAAAATCATTTTAAAAAGTAAACAAACAACGGTTAGTGTACATGGGAACAATGATGTTCTTATCCTTCTGGAATAACGATGTGGAATGTAATCTTTAGAATTTCTTTTTTTTTATTTTCTATAAAGGGTAGAGGTTAACAGTCACAGTTAGTTTTTCTATTCTAAAAACCTACGTTCTTTCTACTTCAATACTCAAGTCTCCAGATGTATCTTTCAGTTTGAGACTCACAGATGCTCTTACAATCATATCAGAATATTTTTAAAAACTTGTCCAAAGTAGCAAACGTCACTAAGAACCCAAGACCTCAACATCCTACTTTCACAATGTTGTTGGTAACATCAAAACAGTACTTGTGTAGGACCATTTGTATGGCTAAGAACGCATATACCAAAGAAAAACTGTATTAATACCTTCTGTCCTAGTGTGCGTCTATGTTGCTGTGATAAACACCATGCCCAAAAGCAACTTGAAGAGGAAAACGTTCACATTTGCTTACCAGTTATACTTCATCAAGACATGAACCTGAGGCAGGAGCTTCAGGTAGAAACCATGGAGGCGCTATTTACTGACTTGCCTCCTTGAGCCTGCTTCCTCTGGCTCACTGCACACTTCTCTTACACAGCCCAGTCCCACAGCCTATAGAAGGCCCTGTCCACAAAAGGCCCTACTGCACCAATGTGCAGTTAGTAAAATGCCCCGTAAGCCAATGTGATGAAGGCAATTCCTCAGCTGATGGTTTCCTTTCCTTGGTGATTCTAAATTGTGTCAGGCTGACAAACCCTAAGCAGCACACTGAACCATGTAAGTTCCCTTCTGTCTCTGAAACACCTGAGGGGCACATGCCTTACATCGCCTGAGTTGAGGGACTTACTTCTCTGGGTGTCGAATCCAAAAGGATGGAGCTTCTTTCTGATACTCATTCAGAAGGCGAACCTGTAAGACGTGTACAAAAGCTCTCAAGATACTGTAATTCTGAAATAATAGATCTACCTTTCATAATGTGCATTGCAGTAAATGGATACCTTTTTCAGTAAGCGGGTCACATTGGGACTGCTTATGTCTACTCCACTTGAAAGAGTAGGAATGTGATTTTCTCTAGAAAGAAAGTATAACTCCAGATATTTAGCTGAAAAGAAAGATGAAAATATATAGTCATTATACAACATAATATTTCTGGGAAAAGTCATTTCTTATGCATTTTTCTTGAGTATACGTAAGAGAAAACATTAGAAGTGATGTAATAAACATACCTAAGCGTGTATAAATTTCCTTGGTCATGTGTAACGGTGAGAGTGTAAAAGTCTGTGCATAGAACTTTAAAATCCGGTCCTACAGAAATGAGACAGCACATTCTTACCTAAGCTTTTTACAACAGCACAGATGAAACACTTTATACATTTAAACAGAAAATAAACACAAAATACTATATGCAAACCCAGGTGATGGGCATGTCTGTTTTAAAAGGCATATTTTTGTTCAATGCCCTAAAGTAAAATTAACCACAACTAATAGTAAAACAGATGATAAAAACGCATGGCTGTGAAACCTGGTAACAGCAAGGGCAGAAAGCTGGAGGTCAGTGGGTATTGGGAATGAGGCTGAAGGCTTGCAGGGAGGTCCCACAACCTTTAAGTAATGGTGTCATTGAGCAGTAGGCCCATAGGCAACACTCCATTTCAAGACCTCATGTTTCCAAATCCAGGAATTGTTTCCTTATATTTAGTAAACATTTGAGAGGTTTTTCTGGGAACGGTGCCTATTCATTAGAAAAAAAATACTACATAAAATTTTAACTTTCAATTTATCAAAACTCATGAAGAAAAGGACAAAAGAAAAAAATGAATAAGAACCAAATCAAGTTAAAATGTGCCTAACACTAGCAGGCATTACAATGGTGCCCATCCCTTCATTTTCTTTTAAACCACTTAAATATCAGGGGAAGAGTAATTTTAAGAGCGAAATACAAGGTGCCATTAAATAAAAACAATCTTGCCTCACATTTTCTAATCTACAGGAACAAAATTAATAACCTTGTTTATATCACCCAGGCTGATATTTTCACAGGAGATAGGTCTCCAGATGGTTAATGATATCTTCCGATAACTCTAAGACATTCCCACTGAACAAAGGCTGTTAAGCGTTTGAAGTCCATGTTCATAGCTGCAGAAACTCATAAGAATCTGTCATTTTTCAAATGCCACAGGCTTCAGGAAGTTACACATAACAGTTCTATAGAACAGCAATGATGTAGCTGGCAATTTAGATGCAGCAAAAACTTAAAACAAAAGAAAGTCATATTTGTCCAAAACGATTTGATCCTATCCACAGTTGTCTTTCTAACAACTGTTTGTAATTTGTGAACCCAAGTAATGAGATGAACCTTGCTACATAGTAACTTTACCATGTTTATAAAGTTATCATTTTTAAAATAAAGAAAATATATTCAGACATGATTCTATTCCCTCGCATATGGGGGGCAGGGGACAGGCAAACTGACAACTGTATTTTTTTATTAGCTTTGAAATGCTAAAGGTGACCCTAAAATATCTCTTTTTTCCACTTGAAGGTCTCTTATAAAAGTTTTTATAGAAGTGTATAATACTTTTTTGGATTTGTAATTTTGAATTGCATCTAAATGTTAGGCAAGCATGTTTTTCTTTTCTTTTCTCGAGACAGGGTTTCTCTATGTAACAGCCCTTGCTGTCCTGGAAGTCATTCTGTGTAAAAGGCTGGCGTTGAACTCACAAAGATCGCCTGCCTTTGCCTCCCAATTCTGGAATTAAAGGTGTGCACCAACACTGCCTGGTTACATCTTTCTGTTTTGATATAAATAACAAAAGTGTTCCCGAATCGTTTCTGTCACCAGTCTAATAGTATCCCCACTGATGGAAGAGTGATTGAAAACAGACAAATGTATCCGGATACCCTCTTTTCCTATGGCTGGCTGCCTGCCTCTTGTCTTGCTTGTGATTTAAACCTTAAACTGAAGTTCCACAGCTGAGCTACTAAGGAAAATGATGAAATCCCACTTGGGTCAAAAAGAGCAATTCATGGCTGTCTCCTTACAGTGAACGCAGGATCTGGATCGGACAGAGAAGTGGTGAGTTTTTCACAGAGAGTGGTCCAGTTTTCACAGTTCAGGACATCGGATGGAGGAGCTGAGCACAGCGTCTGTAAAGCTTCGTATCTCACCTGCGGATTTTAAAATAACAACATTAGTAATGCTGGAAGAATGTCAATTCTCCAAGATAATATTAAACACACTACTAAAAGGAAGAGCCAGAGGAACTATGTGTTGATGAGTCGCTTTTGAGAATCTGACGCCCTTTTATAAAATAACTCGGGAAAACAGCTTTTGTAAACTAAGTGCTAAATAAAGAAAGGAAAAGCAGGCTGTCTTCTGTAACAAAATCTGAAACCGTACGTGCACTGCGACTATGTCACAGACAAGAGAAATGGATGGTGGCTGCTTTGGACTCACCGAGCAGCAGTTTCCAGGAACCTCATCCTGGACATCCCCCATCCTCATAGGCCTCCCAACTGGAGCTTCTACAGTTTGCCAGACTTAATTCCAGCGCACTGCCCGCCGAGCCCCTGGAAAAGCATTCCCATCCCAGCCTCTGTGAACAGCTCCCAGGGAACAATCTCATCAACCGTTTTCATCTTTCTGCTGGACCATACTTCCTGGCCTTTTAGCCACTGAAGTAGAAAAGCTAATTCAGCAGTAAAGTGCAAAACTGAATTTCTGCCTTCCCCCAAAAAGGCTATTCCTAATCATCACAATGACCCCCAAACACTATGACCCAAGGGACACAAGTGGAGAAGGTTCCGCTTCAGTAGAACAAAGCTTCAGTTGAAAAACCAACACAGCAAGGCCAAGCTTCTACTCAAACTCTGGTCACTTGATACAAATCAACCCAGGGAGTAACAGAGAGGCAGCAGAGACCTCCATCACAGACTCAACTATTTCAGATGGGGGGAAACACAGAGTGCTACAGAGTCCCATGGGAAAAACCTTTAAACACACCCATGATAGGCATTAGCAAGATCAGAAAGAAATATTCTGATCGAGAAATCAGAAGCACCCAATGTTAAGTAATTTCTCATTTCCTGGTAACTTTTTGAATAAAATCCCACTAAGAATTTACTACTTGAAATTTATCCAGAAGAAAGGTCTTTAAGCAAGAATATAGTTACAAGTAATCAATTTAAATTAAAGACAAAATTTGCAATTCATAAAGTAGCTTAATCTCATATCTAATTTCATTTAGTATTTTTGCTAATAATCAAGAAAATAAAGCAAAATGCCAAAAGGAAAATAAAGTATTCTCTGATATCTTTTATTTCAATAGGATAAATTAGAATTATTCGTTTAAAGAGAAACATTTCTGGAAAATAATTCATCTGAAAAATTGAGACTAAATAACATATCCAAAGATATACCTAAAGCTATACCCAAAAGTCTAAAGTTTAAAAAACCTTCAGCCAGGACACATCCCCAGATGACCTGCCTCAAGCGGCCTAACCAGGAATGGACTAACAAATGCTAGAGTAAAGTTCATCAGAAGAGCAGCTCTCTGCAGTGAACAGAGGTCAGTGCAGACACCCACGGCTGCACAAGATACTGAGAACACGTGGCAGCAGAGATCAGTCCTAACCAAAACATCTGCACCATCTCGGGAACCATCACATCTGGGGGCAAGAAAGCAACAAGATGAGGAGAAGAGCATGGCACAGCCACGGAAAGAAACTGCATGACCCCCACAAGACCAGTCATGCCTACGGTCGGCTACGGATGTGAGAGGAATTGAATTATCGCCAACAGACTCTGACAGAAGGAAATGCATAATACCAAGTTCTGTACCCACTACTGAGCCCACAGACTGCAGCAGACAGGCCCAAATCCAGGGCCACAGTCAGAGGGAAACAAAACAAAATAAAAAGTCATGAATATAGGAAAAGAGACTTAGTAAGGAAAGGCTATCAGGGGTGAGAGGGACAGAAAACAGGGTGGGGTAAGTAACGAAAATACATTAAAAGACGTGTATGACTTTGCCAAAGAAAAAAATAATTAATTAAAAGTTTTTAAAAACTAAATTTTAAAAAGTAAATTCAATTGTATGACACAAACTCCAACATGCTCATTCAGGATAAATCTCAGTATTGTTCTCATGGGAGCTAGTTTATTAGTCTATAACACTATATATATTTACTCAAAAAATCTGTTTCTCAAATTGACACAAATAAATGAAAAAGATTTTAGGGAGAAGCTGATGACTAGGGAGTGGATAGGAGTGAGAGTAACCAGTTCGTGCTACGTACAGGAGTTCAAAAAAAGAAACTCATTAATTTTTTTAAAATTTATACTTTCTAAAGGAAAATATGACCAACTGTAGACATTTGGTCTCCACATATTAGGACCACTAGAGAAACTTTTAAAATATAATTAAGATAAGCAATTCCAAAAGAAAGATTTATTTACAATATACAAAGGTTATAATTTTCCTTGGCTTTGTAAGCATTAAGCCCTATTAGTTCTGATTTTCTATTTCCATATGCAATTGTTCTCCTGCTCTTGCAAAACACATATTTCCAAAATAATTTATCTGTACTGGTTGTTGTGGTTTGAATGAGAATGGCCCCCAAAAGTTCATGTACTTGAATTCTTGGCACCCAGTTGTTGAAACTGTTTGGGAAAGATTTGGAAGCATGCTAGAGAAGGTATGTCACTGGAGGCCAGCTTCGACGTTTCAAAAGATTCCTGTGATTCACAGTGAGATCTCTCTCTCTCTCTCTCTCTCTCTCTCTCTCTCTCTCTCTCTTCCCTTTTGTAATGTGAAAACTCAGCTGTTCCTTCACTCCATCATTATGAACTGAAACCATCAGCCAAATCAAATACTTCCTTTTATAAGGTGCCATGACTGTTTCATCACAGCAACAGAAAAGTAACCGCACTTGTCTTCCATTCCTGCTGTGTGCTTTTATGGCCTTACAAACAAATATTTTAATCTGAGTTACAGCCCATGAATTTTTCTTCTTGGGCTAATTTCTTTTTTCATCTGTTCTTGCACACTGCTATATTTATCAAATCTCAGTTCACCTTTTATCTGCTTACTTTGATAAAATTTGTTTTTCCCAATCAACAACATAAAACTCAAACTCCCTCAAGGGATTTTACATGGTGCTAGTCCCAGGAAATAGTGCATGCAAACCTCTTTCTTTCCTTCACTAACATAGTTTTAAAAATGAAACCATATTAAATTCCCTTTAATAAACTAAATGTAAGCTTATTTTTTCCATGAAATACTGCAAAATATGTGATTAGAAACACTTAGAAATAAATGTTTACTATGTTATCACGTTTAAAATCCTATGTAGTTTCTAATTCAAACTGACTTTCTAATAAAAACAAGACATCAATAAATAAGTCTCTAAAACCTTTCAAAATATGAACAGATAAAATTTAATATAACGCTTCCTCAAAAATTTTTCTTTTTAAATGTTTTTCATTGTTTGTTTGCTTGCTTGCTGATATTACGTGGGAGAGTGGATGTGGACGGGTGTGGGATTGTGCAGAAAAGTCAGAAGACTTACGGGACTCAGTTTTCTCCTTCTACCATGAGGGCCCAGGGATTGAACTCAGATCATCAGGCGTCTTGACAAGCGCTTCACTTGCTGATCCTCCCCAAAGTCTTTTTTCTAATAAACTGCTAAAGTTTCATGCATAAAAACTGGTGAGATGTTTGTCAACTACAAAATATCGTTTGCAATGAATAAATCGTGAGATCTATTGTACAACCCAATGTATATATATATAATATTCTAATCCTAAAAATTTGTCAAGAAACACTATAAGCTACTCAATCAAAAATTTTAAAAAGGTTAAGTATGGGCGGTAATATATATGCTTACTATCTTAACTTAGCTACTATCCAGTATGTACATATTTCAAGGCATTGTACATGATCGTATACCACGTTATCTATTGAAAACTATCTTTAAACGGATGTTCACATTTTCTAAAAATGAAGAAAGCCCTGGGGTTTCCTAATGATAAAATACTAAAAAGGGATAACAGCCAAACATAGCTTTATCCCTTTCAAACTAAAGCTAGGGGAAAATGGTACGGAGTCCCCTGGACCCACATAAAAGCCCAGGCACAGTTGTGTATATCTGAAATTCTAACATTGGGGGTAGAAAGGCAGCAATGGAGGAAACCAGAAGTTGGCAGACAGTCAGTTCAGACAGTCAAGGAGATCAAGGTTCAGAAAAAGACCCTGTCTCAAAACTAAATAAATAGATAGATAAATAAGGAAATAAGGTGATAAGCAACAAAGGATGACAAGTTAATGCTGACCTAGGGATTGCACACGTGCACACACGTGCACACGCATGCACACATACGCATACACGTACACGTGAGCGCACACACACATACACGAGTCCCACATGCACCTAGAACACACAGGAAAAGAGGGAAAGAAGGGATGAAGGAAATGAGTGAACACAACGTGAGTGTCCCGTTCAGACAGAAGAGCTAATGTGGCTACCAACCCAAGATGCTTATAATAACAAAGGCCTAGCACCTAAAAAAACAAACAAACAGAAAACGCCATCACTATCACAACAACCAAGACAGCCGGCTACTGCTGACTGCAGTAAGACTATGCATGGTACTTTCCTGAACACAACAGCTCTCCTTTAAGCTTACCTCTTTCGGTTGCCCAGGATCCAACTGATCTAAAATCAGCTGTAGTTTTCCTTGGCAGAATTTGTAACTCTGGAAGAGAATTAATAGAACATAGAGTTATTTATTAGACTTCCGGAAGGACCATGTAAATGACTGTGTTAACCTTACTTCAGGCACACTATGGGCTCTAAACAAGACAAAGGTGATCTATTTAGATTTGCAGAAACTTGTAACTTTTGTTTCCAGTGGTTTTGTAATCAGAACTGAAATTTCCCTATAGAATACTGACACTTCCTGTACATGTGTCTGTTCTTGAGCTACCACACTGTACAGAACATTGTAAGACTCAAAAGAGATTTGAAAAAAAAAAACACATCATATACCCAGAAATGTGATATGAATAAAACAAAAATACCAGACAGCAAACAATACAAAGTCAGGAACAGCATAGCTGTCACAGCCGCACAGCTGTCACCCTCCTGTGTTACCCTCTTCTTCAGACTCTCCTTAGCCTTTGTATTGGTGAAAAAATCCTGAAGTAAAACCCTCCATCTGGAAAAAGGTTTATAATACACCGACAGGCTTCCCCAGAGCTTTGCGCAGTTGCCCACTTAGCACTTAGACCTCAGCTCAAGCAGGTTCTGGAAGAAGCATTCCCTGGCGACACGGTGGCGATCTGTCTGCACTCGCCACCACCCTCTCTGTGACGGCATGACATCATTGCTGGCAGTTCAGAAACAGCTACAATCCCTCCTCCCTCTCTTCACCAGGATTTCCTGAGCTCAGCCTAATGTCTGACTGAGGGTCTCGGTATGTTTCCATTAGAAGCCTCTTAATAACTGGTCTAGCCTAAGACCCATGCCACAAGAGTAAACCCATCCCTGCCACTCCCTGGAGCATCAGGACCACAGGCTGGCTGTTCCAAAGACCTGGGATAGAACCAAACATGATTGGAGAAGAAAATAATGTCAGTGTAATGATGCCTAATGATACTCTGCTACACTCATAGATTAGTGTCTAGCCCAATACACATCTTTTTTTTTATTGAGAAACGGAAAAGAAAAAAAAGTTTCTGCCTCCTCCCAGCCTCCCATTTCCCTCCCCCTCCTCCCACCCTTCTCCCCCTCCCCCCACTCCTTTCCCCCTCCCCCCACTCCTCTCCCCCTCCCTCTCCAATCCAAAGAGTAGTCAGGGTTCCCTGCCCTGTGGAAAGTCCAAGGTCCTCCCCCCTCCGTCCATGTCTAGGAAGGTGAATATCCAAACTGGCTAGGCTCCCACCAAGCCGGAACATGAAGTAGGATCAAAACCCCGCAATACTGACGAATATCTTCCATATCACCATAAAACCTTCATCTGGTGATAGATGGAGATAGAGACAGAGACCCACACTGGAGCACTGGACTGAGCTCCCAAGGTCCCAATGAGGAGCAGATGGAGGGTGAACACGAGCAAGGATGTCAGGACCACGAGGGGTGCACCCACCCACTGAGACAATGGGGCTGATCTATTGGGAGCTCACCAAGGCCAGCTGGTCTGTGACTGGAAAAGCAAGGGATAAAACCTAAAACTGGACTCTCTGAACGTGGCGGACAATGAGGGCTGATGAGAAGCCAAGGCCAATACACATCTCTTAAATGAGAGTTCATAGTCAATTAATTCTACTGTATCTGTCCTCCTCAATTCTATCTGCATTTGTCTTTTTCCCACTTTATGAAGTATATTAGAAAAAAAAAAAACTTGGGACTAGAGGTGAAGGTCGGTAGCACAGCCCTTTCCTATCATGTGCAAGGCTCTGGATTCAGTCTTTAACACTACACGTGCAAGTACACATGAGTGTGCACACAAGCACATACACATACACAAAAGCATACAAAGAAAAAAGAAAGAAAAGGCATAACAAGGTTTCAATCTGTTCCCAACTCTAACAAATTCCTTTGTCTTCCAAACACAGCCATGTTTCTCCTGAAAAAATGCTTTTAAATATTATACAACTGGTTGTTATAGCATTCAGAATCTGTCTAGTGCCTGACTTAAAGCTGACCTGAACTATATTAAGCTCTGTATTTTGTATTATGTCTTATCATTGGATGGATATAAATAGCCACAGAGACTCACTAGAATGTACTTAACCAGCGCGTGTGAAGTGTCTGCTACAGTACATAAGCGCTGGCTTTTCAGTGGTTCTAGATATTTCCTGGATGAAAACCCCTGAGGGTATAAAAGCAGTACCTGTGAGCTGATCTGCAAAGGACCACATGGATCTGTTGTTAGTAACAGGTGTGACCCAACAACATAAGTAGCTTCCAAGAGGAATTAAGATGTGTTTGTATGTGCTAAAGCAGAAACTGAACAAATCATTTCTGAGCATAGTATAAAGGAGAAAAGCAAGAACAAAAGATGGTCAAAACTCTTGATCTAAAAAGGCCAACAGTGTTTAGTCTTTGTCCTAGCTTTTACTGTCAATTTGACACAACCACAGTGAGAGTCATCTCAGAAGAGGTAACTCTGAGGAGCTGCCTCCATCAGATTGGCCAATGGGCATGTCTAGGAAATATTTTCTTAATTGACCATTGGTATGAAAGGACTCAGCCTGCTGTGTGGGTATCACTATCTCCATGGAGGTACCTGTAGACACAAATCTATAGGGCATTTTCTTACTTAGAAATAGATGCGGGGGTGCCTGGCCCATTGTGGGCACTGCCACCTCTGGGCAGGTGGCCCGGGGTTGAATATGAAAATAGGCTGAGCAAGCCATGAAGAGCAAGCTAGTAAAGAGCAATGTCCCATGCCTTTGCCTTCAGCTCCTACCTCCAAGTTCCTGCCCTGGCTTCCCTCCCTGATACAGTAAGACTTGAGAGCTGCAAGATGAATCAAGGCCTTTCTTCCCCAGATTGCTCTGGGTCCCGGCGTTTCATCACAGGAAGGGAAACCATAACCAGGGCACTGGCAAAACACTCACCCACACTAAGTAACAATAAATATATCGTTTTTAAAAAATTCAAAAAGAAAACTGAGGCACAGAAGAGGTTAAGAGCCAAGGTCTTGGCTCACCGATGGCACGGCCATTGATTATTTCAGACTGACTTAGTTCAGGACAGATTCTGAATGAACAAGGCTCACCTGGAGCAGCTTCTATGAGTACCTCTAAAATTTTTGACATGTGCATCTACTTATAATTAAACCAGAAATACAGAATAAGGTAATTTCAAAACAAAGAAAAAATGTTTTTTTTTTGTTTTTTAAAGAGAAAGGATTTATTTGGCTCACAGTTCTAGGATGCAGTTTATCATTGCAGGGAAGTCAAGGCAACAGGCACTTTGAGCAAATATTTTATCCATAGTCAGGAGCAGAGAGCAATGCATTAGTACACACAGCATACTTTCTTCCCTCTTATGCAGCTCAGAATGAACTAATTAAATGTTTATTTTATGTGTATGTGTGCATGTGCATGTGTGTGTGTGTGTGCATGTAAGTGAACGTGAGAAAAAATGTTTTGTTTTCAAATGTTAAGCTTATTCTAAAATTTCCTAGCTGTTTTAGTTATAATGACTAAAACAAAGAAAATGCACTTTCCTTTAAAAGCGCAAAATTTAATAAAGTCTGACTACTAATAACTCACGCTATGAGGACGCACTTAAGTATGCACAAAAAGAAATATTAACATGGCTAATCAAAGTAATTACTTTATTTGTCTGGAACCAAATTGTTTCAAGGGAATAATACCAAAACAAGCAAACAGGCAAACACAAGCTCACACCTGCCCTACCCAGGTTTTCTCCCAAACTATCTATTTTTCTCAGGCTGGACAATAATATTACTCTCATTCGTAAAAATTTCATCTACAGTCCCCTTTCATATTTATATTTTTATAAATAATAAGTCTATATTTTTAAGGTTTTAGGCTGCTGCTTTTCTCTCCTTACCACACGATCAGAAAAAGGAAAAATGAACTCGTCAACCAGAGCGGCCAAAGCTGGCGGAATCTGCCACAGGCCGGTTGTGCTAAGGCAGACCTTGCTGCTCTGACAAGCTGAAGACTGCGGTCCCCATGCCACCGTGGAATCCTCTCCCGAACACTGCAAAGTCGGGAGGATTCCAGAAGGTGCCAAAAAATGAGTTAAGCTCAAGATATTAAAACTTGAGGAATTGTGGCAAAATAATAATAATACATTAGAAGAGCTGAAAGCCCACATTCTGGAAAAACAGAAGAACAGCTGAATTCCCAGTATGGGCAAAAGGAACTCAACAAAATTCTAACTGGAAGAACATAAATCCTAGAACTATTGCCGGGGGGGGGGGCGGTTATTCCATTCCCTTGCCTTTCCCAGTTCCTAGAGCCTGTCTGGTTTCCTAGCCACGTCCTACTTCATCTTCAAGCCAGCAGTCACATTGGCCCAACCCTGGCAGCCTGTATGTTCAGCCACTTGTGCTTTTCTTCCATAAACCCCTGTCATTTCCCAGGCCCAGTGAACCCAAGTCATTTCTCCACATGAAAACCCTTAACTTAATAGTTTATCAGTAAAGGGGGCTGGAGAGAAGGCTCGGCAGTTAAGAGCACTGACTCATCTTCCAAAGGTCCCATGTTCAATTCCCAGAGCCCACATAGCCATTCACAACTGTCTGTAACTCCAGTTCCAGGGGCTTTGGCATCCTCACAGAGAAATGCAGGCAGGCCAAACCCCAATGGACATAAAATAAATAAATCTTTAAAACAATAATATCCATAAAGTCCTATTTGCCCAGATCCCATGTTCACAAGTTCTAAGGATTAGCACATGGACACATTAGAGAGGGCAATTACACTGCCTTCCACACTCACCAAGCGATGGCTCATCACAAAGAGAAAGCTCTTGTAAAACAAAGGAGGAAAAGCCTTAAACCAATAACAATGAAATAGCGTGTCAGAGCAATGGGTGACAATTACTATGGCGCACCTTCTTCATATAAAGTACGCCTCCTGAGGTTGGTTTCCTTTGGAATATAAGAAGACAGCCAGCCCATTACAGAGCAGTGCAATACTGGTTCTGCACTATGTTAAATAGTGAGGGGGGGCAGAAAAGAAAGAACATTAACTATAAAATATTAATATAATTTGGAGGAACATCCCAATTTCCTAGCTTGAAATGGCCCAACACCAAACTCTTGCATTACTCTGCCCAAAATTATACTTCAAAACTATTATCACTTATTTATTCTTCAATATCTTTTAGTCTACATATACTATTAATAGTCTCCAGTTTTTCAATAATAGATTAAAAATCCAGATACAATCAAGTTACAGTATTTCAAATAATGATAAAATAAAGACTATTCCACTCACAAAAAATTGCAACATCAAAGGTGTAGTACAATCACCAGAATAAATAGGTGACCTAGAAAATGTGAAACAATTTTTGTCATTTATACATTAGGTAGGGGTTTCATGAATAAAATTAACTTAAGTGCAAAATTAAACACACATAAAATCACCCAATCAATAAGTGAGTTAACAGACCAAATAGACAGTTCTCAATAAAAAAATATAAATGGCCACTAAGCATTTGAGACAATGCTCAACATTCTTATCTGTCAGGAAAATGTAATTAAAACTGCTTTGAGCCAGAGTCTGGTTAACCCCAGTCTGAATGGCTACCATCAAGAAAACAAATGGTTTTATAGGGAAAGAGATCTTTTACACAGTTGGCAGAAATGTAAATGAATGCAGTCATTATGAAAATCAATACAGATATGAGTTGAGGTTCCTCAAAAAACTGAAAATAGAACTATGTGTCCCAACTATACTATTCCTAAGAATATTATGTATTCAAGAACTTTAAGTCAAAATACCACAGAAATACTTTGCATCTTCGTGTGTATACATGTTAACTGTTGCTCTATTTTAATAACTAAGAAATGACTCACCTTGGACATTTATCAAAAGATGGATAACAGAAAGTGGTGTATACAATGGAATTTTATTCAGACATAAAGAATAAATAAATAATGATACTGAACTGAAAGCCATTGTGTTAAGAGTGATAAGCCAGACTCAGAATGACAAATGCCACACTTTCTTTCATTTGCAAAATCTAGATGCAAATTTGTGTGCGGGAAGGTCATGAAAGTGGAGGCGGGAAAGTAGAAGAGAAACTATTTGAGAGAAAGAGAATGGAGGGAACGAGCAAGAGAAAGGCACAGAGAATGCTGAGGAAATGGGGGCGGGAATAAGAACAAAGTATAATGACATGTGTATGAAAATGTCAAAATGTAACCTATTACTTTGTATGCTAACTTTACATTTTAATTATAGAAAAGAAAAATCCAGATACAGTTTTCAGCCCAGAGCAAGCAATGATCTTGAAGGCATCAATGAAAATTTAAGTATTTAATGGAGTTGTTACAAGGCACAGAGTCTATCTCCTTGCTTCCACAGTGAAGAATCTGGTGTCCAGCAACAAGCAGTGAGTGGTAACAGGAGCAGCTCTATTACAGTGAGCTAGCAGCTGTAAAGGTGAGGACCAGCTAGACTAGTCAGGAGGCTGATCTACGGAGACGGATGACTTAACGGTAAATAAAGTCTAACAAACAGAGCTTTGTGGTCAAATGATGAACCTCTGACCCTAGTCCCTGAGAAAAAGATACTTCTCAGTTCTGCAAAAGTTAGGAACAAAGATCATCATTTGCTTGCTCCATTCTTGTCACTGACTGGTAATCCCTGGCATATATAAACTGGATGGACTAGAGCAGGGAGCTGCCCCAAGGTCCTCCCACTAATCTTCAATCTCACAGTCATAAAAGAGCTGATCACTGGGGAAGATTGGGGTCAGGACCCTTTCAGAGAAAAGTCTCTCTTTACTAAGCAAAGGCATACCCACACACCTCTCCAAGCTCACACCTCTGAAAGAGAGGTCTGGGATGTTCCAACACTCGTACATTTGTTTCAGAAAGTTCACGCATCTCACAATGTCCTCATGGACAGAGTTCACTTCCAAACCAATTAGTCTTTTCTGGAATAGTCGTATTCATTGAGTAGATGCTAGAAGGCTAGACTATTGCCTGTGAGCATCCCAAAGGAAACCACAGATCTGAAGGCATAGTTTCTTCTGAAGAATCCAAACCAAACAAAATTAAAAAACAAAAATATTTTAAATTGTGACTCTGTCCTGTCAAAACCTGAAAGATGTGTTATTCCCGTCACTAGTAATAACCAGCATTTGGGAATTAGCAGCTGATGAACTCCTCATACTTGATTGCGCTTAGTTAGGCCTAATACTTCCATTTGAGGAGTGCATTAACAATGCTTCGGTTTTTTTCTTCTCCTGGATCCTCTGCATGCAGAATGGCACCACCCACAGTGGCCTATATCTTCTAGTATCAGCTAACATCAGTATCCAAGACAACTCTCAACAGACATACCCATAAGGCAATCTCATCTAGACAACCCCAGGTGACTCATGGCTGTGCCAAGTGGACAGTTAAAACTAACCATCACAATCTCGAACTTTTTAGTTGAATTTTGTTTGTTTTTAGCTCCTAGGACAGGGTCTCAGTATATAAGGCAGGTGGCCTCAAACTCACAATCCCCCTGCTTCAGTCTCCACAGGGCTAGTTCTGTGCCCCACACCAGACTGGTTAGCCTCAAACCGCTTTACATATTAAGACTTTAAATGTGCAAAACTGACAATTCACAGCCACTTTCAACCCAGAAATGCACAAAAATCATCAACGTTTTATCTCCACATCTCAGTCAGTTACACTTTGATAAAAATTGACAATAAACTGCTTTAATTAATGCTTAAAGAGATTTATTTCAACACTTATTATTGTTGTTGTTATTAATTCAAAACATAATTCTGACTAAAAATTATCTGAGATATAATTATTTATTAAACAAACAATCTGTAAAATTTCATGGACCAAACAGATTGTTTTATGTTTTACTTTTTCTGAATCTTAAAATTGGAGAACAGAAAAAAAATGAGAAAGCATATATACAAGCTAGTGATAATTAAAGACTATTTTAAGACAAGACTGGGAAACGAAGAGCCCACCTGATTGAAGGAGGAGTCACTGTCAGAACAATTGTCCGTGCAGCAGCTGCCACGCTCCTCCTTCTGCAGTAGCCGCTGCCTGTCCTGACTCCGGGTCTCATCTTCCTCAAACTTGTTGATCATGGCCTCTACCACCACCATCATGATGTTCTTCAGGGAATGCATCATTTCCTTATACCTTTAAATTCAATGTACACCCAATAAGTAGACTTACAACTTTTCATCTACGAAGTCATACGAAAAATCAACATCATTCTAAGCCAAGCTGTCCCAGTGGCATGCCTTCCTGTTGTCAGCAACATACCCAGATGCTCACAGCATAAAGCCAGAACCCAGTTCACTTCTGTCGCTCATATCATCTCTACCTCTTTTCTCTATCTTCCAGTGATGTGGGAGTGATTTCTTATTAATAAAGAAACTGCCTAGGCCCCTTGATAGGCCAACCCTTAGGTGGGTGGAGTAAAAAGAACAGAATGCTGGGAAAAAGAAGCTGAGTCAAGGAGTCGCCATGATTCTCCCACTCCAGACAGACGCAGGTTAAGATCTTCCCTGGTAAGCCAGCTCATGGTGCTACACAGAATATTAGAAATGGGTTAGATTAATATATAAGAGCTAGCCAATAAGAGGCTGGAACTAATGGGCCAAACAATGTTTAAAAGAATACAGTTTCCATGCAATTATTTCGGGTAAAGCTAGCCATGCGGGAGGCCAGGTGGCGGGGACGCAGCCCCGCTGCTCTTATTTCAACATTCCAAAACACAGATCTCTGAAGTGAGACTTAAAACTAGTCATTCTCTAGATTCCCTCAGCTCTGCAAGTCTCCAGATGTCTCCACGAGAGAAAAATTTCATTTTAGAAAATGTATAATTTTATTTTCACTTTATTATTTTATGTGTATTGGTATTTGCCTCCATGTGTTTCTGTACCTATGTGTGCAGTGCCTCCAAGGAAGGAAGAGGGGGATGGGTCCCCTGGAACCAGCCTGTGTTACTTAGTGAGCTCAAGGTCAGCCTGAGATGCACAAGAATACTCTACCGGAAGGAGGGAGGGACGGAGAAAAGTGCTCTGATAAAAAATAAAGATCTGTCCATCAGAAGCTGTTCTGGCCAGGCATAGTGGTACATCTTTAATCCCAGAATCCAAGAAGCAGAGAGAAGGATATTTCTATAAATTCAATGGCAGCCTGGCCTACAAAGCAAGTTTCAAGCCAGTCAGTGCTACATATTGAGACTCTGTCTCAAACAAACAGAAAGCTGCTCTCTCCTTTCACAGTAATTGATTAGTAGCTAAACTATACTCTCAGCATCCTTTGAAGTTAAGTATGTTGACAGGTACTTCATGACTTCTCTATTTCTTTAAAATTTACAATTGGGTGATTTAGCTAGATCCAGTGAAGTATGCCTGTTATCCAGCCCTCTAAATGGACACAGAAAGATTTAGTTCAAGTCTGCCTCAAGAGAAGGTAAAAGAAGGAAGAGAAGGAAAATTAAAGAGGAAGGGAGGGAGGGGAAGTGATGTGGGACTCCCCTCTGTATGCTGTGAATACCACTGGTTAATAATGAATCTGTTTCAGCTAGTGGTTTAGCAGAGTAAAGCGAGGTGGGAAAAATAAACTGGATGCTGGGAGAAAGAAGGCGGAGCCAGAAAGATGCCATGTAGATAGATGCCAGAGGGAAAAGACACAGAGCTGCCAGCTGGAACCTTGCCAGTAAGCCACAGCCACGTGGAGACACACAGATTAATACAGATAAGTTCATTCTAGATGTAAGAGCTAGCTAGCAATACTCTTAAGCTACTGGCCAAACAGTGGTAAATACTATCGCCTCTGTGTGATTACTTTGGGTCTAAGTGGCTGGGAATGAACGAACAGCCTCTTACTACAGGGAAAGAAAAAGAGGAGAAGAAAGAAGAAACAGCAACCATGGAAAAAGAAAGGAAAGGAATTTTGGTAATTTAATGAAGAAGTATGAAAAGTAAAACGTGAGAATTATTTAATCCATTTAATCTGAAATTTCCATTTAGACATAAATGTTTCTAATAGGAATTTTTTAAAGGACGAGCATGAATTCCTCTGTAAGAACTATCATAAAAATAGTCAGAAGGGAAAATAAGAGCAATAATCTTTTACAAACCTAAGTAGCTGATCATCCATATCAAAGGTTAAATTAGCCAGAAAGCAACAGTAGCCACTGTAGCTTTTAGAAAACAAAGGGAAGCAGATATCGAAAATAGATACTATCCACACATTCCTATAATGCTTCAAGAAATACTCAAATAGGGAAATAAAAAGCTTCAAGGAAAGAAAGCCAGAATAACAATGGAAATCTGCCTAAGTGCTTCCAAACTCATTAAATAACAAGAGAGGCCTAAAAGGAAACTCTTCCACGTATCAATATTGAATAAATAAACATCAAAATGTTTAATTAGCGATATGGCTTGTACTTATTACAATAAAAATGTACTGTTGCCACATGAGCACTGAGTAACTTTTCAAGAAACTTAGAACAAAATAATACTCCATACAACTTAAAGTCTATCGTCCACAGTTCAAAAAGCACAAGACAAATATTCATTAAGTCTTTTTGAATCTTGGTGGTTATTACTGTTTTAAATTTTATGCATGGATGAACTTAAGGACAACAGAGCTAAATAGCTTACAAAGAGCTTTTTTGAAAGTAGTTTCCTAATAGGATCATATAAAACTCTGCACTTATCACTAAAATGCTTGCGTGCCTCCATCATCTGATCAGGTTTAGCATTCTTTTTGGAATAAGCAGCTAAACACAGACTACTAAGTATTTAAATAGTGTTCAAATATGGACACAACTCCTTTATTTGTCTATAAAATAAGAAACTTTAGCCAGGTACAGTGGTGAATGTATTTAATCCCAGCACTCAGGAGGCAGAGGCAGGTGGATCTCTGTGAGTTTGAGGCCAGCCTGGTCTACAAAGAGAGTTACAGGGCAGCCAGAGCTACTACACAAAGAAACCTTATCTCAAAAAACCAAAAATTAAAAAAAGAAATTTTAACTTTATGGACTTTATTCCATATGTTAATGTCTGAACTATTTATGTCTATATAATGTCATCTTATTCCAATGAGTAACAACAATAAATAATAGTTCTCATAAGAGAAACAGAATTCCTGTCCAGACTAATATTTTTAAGCTTAGTTTATAAATAAATTATAATTAATTTTCTTTAATACAATAGATAATAAATACTCAAGAAGAAATTTGATTAACTCTAATACTAGGGTTGGCAGAATATTATCTCTGATGGTTTAAAACAGAATGGCCCTCATGGGCCATTTGAATCCTTGGTCTCTAGTAGTTGTAATAAAACTACAATAAGCAATAAAAAAGTAATTAAGACATTATTTTATTGACCTAAATTGACTTTCCACTAAATAAAATTTAACTATAACACGTGCACATTCTTTCCATTATATATGATCTATGGCTGTTCTCATATAGTTGATAAAATATACAGGGAATAAAACCTAAAGTGTTTATTGTATGCTCCTTTATAAGAAACATTACCATCCCCTGCCATAAGGAATGATGGAGTAGGACCGGTGAAAGGGACCCGGAAACCTGGACGGGAACAGTGACAGACCCACCCATCCATTCATCACTTTCATGCTCCAGGAGGAAGTTAATTTCCTTTGGGGCTTGTGTTTTCATGCTTCTTTGTTATAAACATTCATTACATATTTGGACTAATATAGTTCTTCCTTGATATTTCCATACAGCCTTTTGTATATATCATAGCACTTAACACACCGAATTGAATCTGTTTCATTTCCATTTCAGAACAGTATTAAACTCTTCTCTTTACACTGTAGATTAGGGAAGGGTGGAAAACACTTCCTTCCTCTTTGCAGTACACCATATTGAAGCTGCTAGCTCAATGCATGAAGACTAGCTGACATATAAAGGAAAAAGAGCTACTGCTAATGACACAGCACTTTCAACAGCAGTCTGCTTTCCTTGCTAAAACTGGACTTGAGCCTAGGTACAGTAATGAAGAAAAGAAGCCTATCTCATAAGTTTGGGGGATCACAAGCTTGCATTAGTTTCTGCCCAGCTCTGGTCCACACAAATCACAAGATTGCTTGAGAAAGGGATAGACAAGACCAGAAGCCAGGAGGTAGGGAGGGGACCGTTGCTTTCTAACATCTGTTTATCTCTTTCTCTGTGGCAAGCATGCATGCTTGCTCACTCACTTACTAGAACTAAACAGGGTTAAGAACTGCCTTAATCCCCGCTGAGACTCCGTTTTCAATGACCTAATTTTCTTGTATGCAGCTTCTCTTTAGGGATCTATTGCCTCCTAATTCTGCCACATTGGGGATCAAGCTCCTAACACTGTTTGAGAACAAATAACATCTACAGTATTGCAATTTGTAACATAAAGCTGATTCTAGTTTAATTGTAACTCAACAAAATTATAATTAATTATAATCATACATTATAATTAAATAAAACACTTCAATTTTATTAACAAGTCTCTATTAAGCATCTATAATATACAAGGCACTTTCAAGGCATTAAAGATACAGAAATAAAAAAAATAGGATACAAATTTATCTTTGTAGATCACCCATCCTATCAATGAAATACTGAAATAAAAGAAAAAGATAGATATAGATTGTATCCTTTCTTAGTGACAAAAAGGTGAAAGGAAAATAAAGCAAAGTAGGGAAATATGATAAAGAGAGATAGGCTATTGGTTTAGGCAGAATAGAGAACAAAATGCCTTAAAATGAAGACAGTGAACTAAGATGCTCCCAAGTTGAATGTTAAATCAGATAATCTATGGAAAGGACACTCTACAGCAATCCAACATGAGGGCAAACCTGAGAGATGTGCCTGCCTGAGTGTTTAATAAAGAGCTAGACCAGTGTGGTGAGATTATGGGAAAGAAGGTGGCAAACATGTTAGGAGAGTGTGCGGAAAGCTCATGGCCAGCCTTGTGGACTACCTAGAGAGCCCTGAGTTTGCTCTATAGAATGTGAGGGGTATGGTGTCGGGGTACTGTCAAGAAATCCCAATGAGGTATTAGTGTTGCAAGAGCAGCAGAAACTGGAGGGAAGTGTGCTCCTCACATCTGCCTAGCCTGCACCAGTGCTGAGATCCAAGGAAACTTCAAAAGAGGACTTATAACCTCTCCTCCTCCCATGCCAGAAATCCCAGAACACGGAGGCTGCAGGGACCAAGGGGTCCAGCTCCCCCTTCTGCACACAGCACCATATGGAAGCTGCCATAGCCAGAGGGAGCTGAGACCCTCACCCATCAGATCAGGGTCGGCGGGCCAGCAATTCACTCATTTTGGTTCTTATCCTGTGCTATTTACCTTCCACTTTTGTGGATGCCTCGTGATGCTTTTGCTTACACAGGGCTCTGTTGAGTTTGCAGACTCCTGCTGAGGTTTCTCCACCCAGTTCACCCTGCAGATACATCTCCCAAACTCCCGCACATATCCCTACCTCTTTTCTTCTTTCTCCATTTTATCTTCTCCTCTTTTTAACTCTTAGCCAAAACCTCCCACAGCTTCAACAATCTCTAAAATCTGTGAGCCCTACCAGCATCCCAACTTTCCCTTCCCAGCTATTTTACCCACCTCAGGGTTTTTCTTTTGAAAGGAAATCCAATAGTTAATCTTTATCTTTCTATATATCCTACTTCCCTACCAAGCATCTACAGAGGTCAGGAAGCTAGAAAAATCCCTTGAGAAGGGAAGTCAAAGGGCTTCCAGGGTGAGATCTAAATTATAGACACAAACATAATTATTATGCCATACTCACTCCTTAGACTCCTGCGTTCTCTTGGTGACGTGCTGTACAACAGTGTCATAACCAGATTCCTCACCCTGGTTATGATCAGATGTGCATTTTTCCATTTCTTCTTCGATCATAGACCCCAGCGTGTTACATATGTGCTGTCTAAGGTATTTTACAAATTCATAGCTGAAACAAATAGAGAAATAAAACGGAGCAAATATCAGTGCCATTTATTAACCAGAGCCAAGGAATTCAGCATGCAAAGGCCTGTAACATACAAAAATGTTTTGCCTCGTCATTAAGAAAATAAGTGACAAATGCTGGCAAGAAATCTCTAAATCTTTTGTCTTATTTATTGGAAAAAATGTAGGTCAGGCTGGCTTCAAACTCAAAATCTTTCTTCATCAGCCTCCTCCAGCCTGGGATTATGGGTACATAACATCATGCCAGCAAATTCTGATTCTTAGACTGACCAATCTCCCTAGTTAAGTAAAATACCTGCCCAAATGTTTGTACCAATATTCTGAGAAAGTCACAGGTTCACCATGGAAAAACAACAATAGAGTTTTCTTGGAAAATGAAGGTAATAACACTGGAGAAGAGTGGAAATGTGAATGTCTTTACTTAATTTAGTAACATTCAGAAAAAAATACGTACAGCTTAGAGAGAAAACCAGAAGAGGCCACTAACGGAAGGGACAGGTTAACATCTCCGCATGACAAATCTCCATGACAGCATTACCTATATTAGTTTCTCCTCCAATGAGCACACTGTCTCCCACTTGGGTTTATTATACCTGAAATTACATATTTACTGACTCAAATGTCTCCAATGCCACCTTCTTATAAAAATGCTAACAACCCAGAAACCCAGAATCCCATATAAGTTTTTTCATATGTGGAATCATAAAAGGAAGATATAACTGCAGACCTTAGAAATATTAAGGTAACAGGATGTTAATGAGAATCTTTATGTAAATTAGTTTAAAAATCTAGATAAAACTGAAAAATTCCCAAAATACACTGCTAAAATCACTGCCTTATTTACTGTTTTTGGAGCACACAAGTGCCAGTGTGGTGGTGTACACCCCAGAGGCCAACACAAGGGGATCTGTTAGTTCTAGGACAGCCTCATCTACACAACAAGCTCCAGGCCAATCAGAGCTGTATAGTAAGATCCTGTCAAAACAAAAACAAACAAAAACCAAGCAAATGAGTTAGTAATAAATTTAATTTGGGGGAAGATGCCAAATTTTATATACTGAGCTTTTTAAATAATAAACCTATGACCAAAGAGAAACCTGATTCCAAGTATGTCTAAAGAATAGTGCCATCCAATAATTGAGAGTAGCAGTGAGGTACTATGGAAATAAGCAACAATGAAGGAAGCCATAAACAAAATCATAAATTTTAAAAAATCAAGCTGGGCAGGATGGAGCATCACTTAGAGTGTTGAAACATAACAGTAACTTTCAGGTTAGCCTGAGCAACACACCAAGCAAGTCTCAAAATTTAGTATTAAATTTGAAACTCTATGGTGATTCTTTCTTCTACATCTTTTAAAACTTCCCTTGGGAACCTGAGGGAATTATAAGGGACAACCCATAAAACAAGTAAACAAATAACCTTTAACACAGAGCATCAAAGGCCTGAAGGAACCCCTAATGCCCATTTTCAGAGAAACTGAACTTCAAATTATCCAAAAGTCAATAAAAGCACCATAAAATGGCTCCTGTCATTCATGAGACCCTGGGTTCCATTCCCAGCACCAGAGTGAATTAAATAGATTAGCAGACTAAAGCGACATCACAAGAAACAATGACTGTGAGACCAAATAAAATGCATGCAAACACTGGATTTGAAAAAGCTACAAGTCATCATAAACCGAGAGCCTGGAGATAGACTGTGACTGAGAGGCTTAACTTGGTGTATGGATAAACTCCAGAGAAAGGATTAGCTCTCTAAAGATATTTAAGTCTAAGGTGCGTTTACATTTTTAAAGACCATCTGGTAGCACCTGACAACTTCCTTTTTTCCTCCATGCCTGGCATCCTGCCTCTTGTCACTGGAGTCAGGGCAATTGCATGGGCGCCCTCCTGCTCTACAGGCACCCAGATGTACTTCAGCATGGGAGCCCTTGCAGTGTTGTGTGGCTAACTACAGCAGGTAGTGAAGCAACAGACCAGTAAATAGGGATCTTGGGGGCCACTGCTTTTAGGTAAAGTGAAAGGAATCCCGAATTTCAGGGATTAAGATTGCTCTTTAAAGTACACGAATGGTTTACAATTGATGTAACAGCAAAGAAAAACAGGCAGAAGAGGCTCTGGAAAACGAGTTTTAAAAAAAAAAAAATAAAGAAAAAATAAATTCGGCACTGGGACAACTGGTAGACAAACTGAACCACCGATTAGCTATTTTAACAAAAATCAAATGACTCTCTTTATCCGAATCATTTTCACCTTCCCTGGGCCAGTGGTTTGTTTGCTTAAAAACTTAAACTCGACTTTACTTGTGGAAATTTTCGTCAGTTTCCTCCAGCCGCAAGAGGATCTCCTCTGCGCACTCCAAGGAGGGAGCGCCAGTGATTTTCTCCTTCACGCTCTGGAACAGCTGCCGGAGCATCGCCTGCAGCATCACCTCATCGTCGCTGGAGAAATGGGCCATTCTGTGTAGCAGTCAAACCTCGGCACCCTCCGCGGGGTCGCCACCAACACAGGCCACCACGCACGCGCGACCCGGTCCAATCGCCGTCGGCGCGCAGCGTCGTTCCCTAGGAAACCACCGCCAGCGCACAAAGGGCGGGGCCGAGACTGAGCAGCTCAGTGCCGGGGAAAATGAGGCTCTGGGTTTGAAGACCAGGCGTGGACTGAGGCCGGCGAGGCGATCGATGCTTGCAGTTCCGCGGTACCAGCAGCGCCTAGGCAGTCCCCCTCCGCCCCCGACCTTCAGGCTCCGCTGGGAGAGCCTGACGGGAACGCCCTGGCTGCGCCTGACGTCAGCTCGCCGACGCGGCGAGGGGAGGGGTGAATCCAGGAGGAGAGCTCTCTGGACCTCGACCTGCGGGAGGGAAGGGAAAGAGGGGCAAGAGGCATTCAATAAAAGCAGAGCAAAAGAAAACTGAAAGCAGGCTGACGAGTGTCATCTGGAGAGTGGATGCAATTTAAAAAAAAAAAAAAACTGCTCTCTTTCACCAACACCTGCTGAGCTCCTCCTGTAGCTTACCAAGTGCTGCCTACCTGAGAAGATGACCCTTCCTAACGTGACAGAAAAGAAATTAGCAATTCCCTACAGATCAGTTAAGGGCCTTACTAGAGAAATGCGATGGACAGACTGGAAGCAACTCTTGAACCCTCGTCCCTAGCCAAGTAGATAAAGTTTCTGGGAGTTGGGGAGTAAGTTGCCATTAAGAGTGTGGCCGTGCTCCAGAAGATGGCCCAACATCCATGACACTATCGACTGTAGACACCAAAAAGTGGATTTGATGCGTCTGTTTGGTTTTGTTTTTTTGTTTTTCGGCCAAGAGAGGTGTGTTGGTAGTAAAGAGCACTGGCCGCTATCCCAGATGGCCCAGGTTCAATTTCCAGCGCCCACATGGTGGTTCACAACCTTTTGTAAGTCCAGTTCCTGATGCCCTGTTTCGCCTCCATGGGCACTGCACATCTGTGGTTCACAGACACACATGCATGCAAGCACTATACACATAAAATAATTTTTAAAAGGAGGGGAGTGAGGAAGATGGAGTAGCGGGGTGAATATGATCTAATATATTGTACACATGAAATTACAAGAAAATAACAAAAATGTATTTCTGTAAAAGAAAGGAATGGTGATAGTAGTTGCTGTGGAAACCTAGGATTTTGTTCAAAATCCAGTGGCGAGTATAAAAGAAACAACATATTAGAGAAAAGTATGGTGGCTTGAGCGTATACAATATTCAGGTGCCAATAGCTACAGAACAGCCCCAAACCACCAATGTCAATAAACTTCCCAAATCTAGCTGTAGTCTATTTTTATATCAGATTTACGTCTCAGGATAGCCAGACTCAGTAATTCCCCTGCCCCTGCTAGTGCATCCAGGAAAATGGACATTTCATTCCAGCTTTGGCATCATATTTGTTCAGAAAATATGTTCTTTGCATTTTACTATAAAAACGAGCTTTAATTTTTTGTTCTTTAACAATTTCATATATATATATGTATATATATACTGAATTTCATCCCTATTCCCTTCTCTTATCAACATTCTTCCCACTGAAACACTTCCTTCTCTTTTGATGATTGTTGGTTTCCTATTGACCCACTGAGTTTAATTACAATTGCCTGCATGAGTATTTGGGGGGAGGGGTTGTTTAGTGACATATTGGTAATTTATCAGTGGCTATACCGCTGAAGAAAATTACACCACCTCCTTCAGTATGCATTTACAGCACATAGACCCTCAGTGAGGGCTAGGGCCTCCTGAGCTCCTAGGCCATGCAGGATAAAACCAGCAGAAGTCCAATTTTGTACAGGTCTTGTGCAAATAACAACAGCTTCAGTGAGTTCCTAAGTATAGTGGCTATGCTATGGCCAGGGAACACTGTCTTAAAGAAATCCTCTCCAAACTCTGGATCCTATATTCTTTTTCACCTACCTCCTCTGAGCCAGTCCCTGAGCCTTAGCGCAGGAAGTGATATGGATGTCCTGTTTAAGGCCAAGGACTCCACACTGGCCAGTTTTACTGTGGAATAATGTTTTGGTACACTGTAAAGATTCGTCACTCATATTGGTTTTAATAAAATGATGATTGAACAGTAGCCAGGCGGGAAGTATAGGTGGGACAACCAGACTAAGATAATTCTGGGAATACGAAAGGTAGAGATGCAGTCACCAGCCAGTCAGAGGAAACAAGATGCGAATGTCTCACTAGTAAAAGGTACCAAGCCATGTGGCTAAATATGGATGGGAATTGTGGATTGATTTAAGTTGTGGGAGCCAGTTAATAATAAGCCTGAACTAATGGGTCGGACAGTTTATAATTAATATAGGCCTCTGTATGTTTCTTTGGGACTGAATGGCTACAGGACTGGGCAGAACAGAAACTTCCATTTACACAGTTGTGAGCCTCTGCATTAACAGCTGCATACTGTAAAAAGCAGCTTCTCCGATACTGGCCGGTAGCAGCATTGATCTATGAGTGTGAGGGCAAGTATTTAGAAAGCAGTTCAATGATTTATCTGTTTAGCAAAATGACAATAATAGGTTCTCAGCGAGAGTTGATGACTTTGCTATCCACGGGGCTCTTGTCAGGTTTACAATAGCAGACATAAGTTTCTTCCTGTAAAGCTGAGTTCAATCAGAAAACAATTTGTTTTCCCCATGACTTGCAGGCCATTATTACACCAGTGGGTATATCTTTCTAGGAAGGCCCGAGGGCTCATCAGGGCCACAGCTGGACTATTGATGACATTTCTCCCCAGGAGCGTACTTAGCACCCTTTCGCACTATGAAAGCTGGTCAGCATGGCGTAAACATCCAGCGAAGATCCAGTGTGATTTCTCTTTAATGCCCTGCAACCAAGCAAGGGAGTCATAAAATACGTTCTTTGTCTTATAATTGTGTCACCTGTTACATCAATTAATAAAGACAACTTGGTAGAGTAGCTACAGAAAATTATTACTGGGACATGATATAAGCTCAGTACATATACATGTATGCATGTGTGTCCATGTGCACAGAGTTGCCAGCTGTGAGATAGAAACATATATGAACACAGTATGGGCTGTGTTTGCAGCTCAAAACACCAAGGCGAAGCAATAGTTAGTGAGCTTTTCATATTTTAGATTCAGAATGTCCCCCAAAGACCCACAGATAAAAGCTTGCTCCTCAGCTCATGGAGTTCTTGGAAAGTAGAGAAATCTCCAGAAAGTGTGACCTAGTAGTGGGGATTTG